CGCCGTGAATCTTAATTTCGTCACCCTGGCCTCCTGTGGAGAAAAGACAATGTTAACACAATTTTTCGATAAATGTTTACTTAACAATTTAGAAAAATTACATGAATCTGTAGTCAGTGTTATTTTGAAATTTCTTCGGTTTTCATTTTAATAACATATAAAGAGTTCTAATATTTATTTTATTTTATTTTTTCAGATTTGCAGTCACATTTACTGCCAAGGCAGGTGGTTATCGTCAGTTGATACGTATAGACACGAAACAAAATTATATTAAACAAAACTACACAGAAACTAGCATGTCCAAAACTTTAACTTACAAATTCGATTTCGGAAAGCCAAAACATTGTTTTCCAGAGTGTTCAATTCTTCCTTTTGACTTCGGCGATGATAATAGAAAGGTTAGCTATTTAAAAAAAAATTTAGAAAGAAAATACACTGGTAACGGCCTGTTAAGGATGATGCAAAATCTGTATCAATGACGGATCCCACTGATTCAACTAACAATTGTCTTATAATACAAAACTACGGGATTAAAATATCTTAAATGATCGTGTCAAGCATACTACAATTATAACAAGTATATCGCGCGCCATATTGTTTTGACTCGGCGAAGACATTTCTTCGTCGATTATCTCACAATGCTCACTACATGTAACACCGGAGGACCCGGGGAAAACCCACGAGGCTGGACAGGCGACCCTACTCCTTGTTACGTACAACTGGGAAATCGAAACCACGCCAGTTGACTCAATGACTGACCTTATGATACAGTGCGCACGTGCTAACCATTCGGCCATCCAACCCCCCGTTTAATTGTGATAGCACATAATATAGTTACTAAAGAATCAATCACATGATACGTGAAACCTACTAGGTGAAGCAATTAGACATCAAAGAACTTAAAATGATTGATGAAAAACATCTTAATTATTTGTAATTCATAGCATGCAATAACTGAAGTGTATACTTATATAATATGAAGCTAAATATTGGACTTAATTGTGTGTTGAAACATGAAATGGTACTGACATTAATTTACATAACGAATTAATGATTATGAATTTGATTACATAATATATACATAATGCACATAAATATAACTTATTAAGACATTTTTAAAAATATGCCAACCCTTAGACCCCACCCACTTCTGTATCCGCGCCTGAAGTATGCTTGAATTTTAATGTTATTTGTTTTTGCACAATTTACAGGATCCGGTTCTTAACATAAGATGGAGTAATTGGACTGATGATTTATCAGGTGTTTTCCGATACGCATGGGAAATATTCCGACTTGTACCAAATGTCGTCGGTAAATTACAAGAACCCGACCCACTTGGTCCGATTGAAATAGGAGAAGTCCTTCATTCGGATAACATAAATTATCCCAACTACACTTTACCTGAACCCGGTCTGTATTCTATCATATTACAAGTTGCTGATACAGCCAATAATTCTGTCTACGTTCGACGATTCTGTCTTTACGACCCTTACTCTAATATTCAGATCTCAACTGACCCGGATGAACGTCTGCGCGCGATTTCTGCTTCGCCAGAATCTAATTATACTTGGCAGAGTTCTAATAACGGTACAATTAACCTCAATTGGACAAATTTGTTTTTCAACGAGTTCCTTGAAAAAAACAAAGTTCTGAACGAAATTTTAAACTACCCGGTACAATTCTTTGAAGAAGGTCCAAGCGAAGAAAAAAGAGTCGATATGACATATCAGAATCAGAAAGGCCGAAAGCAAGCGGCAATTCCAAACGCTCGGGGAATTACAAAGTTCCAGATTGCACAAGCCGTTATAAAGGATCCTAATAAGCTGGTAATTCCAGAATATTGGAATAATGTTTCTGATCCTTCCTCCGCGACAGAAAGGTTGCCACTACAAGCTAACGATGGCGATACAATTGGAGTTTGGGTTAGAGCTGTTGACGTATTAGGCAATGAGCGCGTTGATTCGACTAAAGTTAGTATTGATTCATCGCCACCTGAAGTATCAGAATTAACATTTGAACTCAGCGAAGATTCAACTACGTCACGGTAAGTTTTAGTTTTGATTAATAAAAAGACCAATCTTACATTTGGGATTCATCAATTAATATCCTTATGGTGCAGAATCTTTTACTGGCCTTTTGGGTTGCTATTTACAAGAGGAAGGCCATAAGATAAGGCCCTCTTTTGACATTTCGACAGATGAATCCCAGACGTGTTGAAGAAAGTTGTCTGAAAAACAATTTACCAATTTTACCAATTTTCAACCCTTTAAATAATTTAATTAAATCAACCTGTCCATAGTATCATATTTAATGTATTGGACATTAAATCTGTAATAAACAACATTGTCGAAACTGCAGACGTTTAGAACCATAAAGACGAAATGAAATAAATAAATATACAATTTAAAATTAGTTCTAGTCAGACGTTATGTTTCGAAGCAGCCTATAACTCAATACCGTTCATTTGTTGTAGAAAATAGTATACGAATGTTGACATTAAACTACTGAAGCTATAAATGTTTGAAAATATGTACTAAATTCTTCTGTCCAGATTCAGGGCTACCGCACATGACCCTCACAGTGGAATCATGCGGGTATATTGGAGGGCTGTTAGACATGCTACACAGGTGGAATACGCCGATGGTTCTGTCCATTGGCCCCAAACTCGAAGACAGGTAACCAGTCACTAGTAGTTAACTGATATACAAAATTTTTAACAGTTTCTTTGACTTTGTTTATACGTGGGTTTTTTAAATCTAGATATTGTTACATGCGAATGAAGCTGGATATGTATAGTTGTATTTTCCATTTATTCTTATTAATGATTGTAAGTCGTTAAAATAAAATCAAATGGGTTTTAACGTCCTACTTTCTGCACCGACGGGTCTAATGGAGACGGGCATGCGCCACACAGGATGCTATGACAGCGGTACTACGGCCTCGGGGTTAGCTAGCCAGAGAATTACTCACCGAGCCACTACGGCTCCCTTTTTATACATCCACATTCATAATCGCGTCGCCGCTGTCTGTGTATCTATATGTGTCTGTGGTTCCCCTAAAGTCCCCATCTCTTTAATTAATGGATCGTTTTGAAACAATGTATACTTATTCCTAATACCCTAGAAATGATCCCTATTGTTTTTAGTGAATTGCCCCCCCCTCCCCCGGCGGCAAAGATACGCCCATTTTTTGTATTTGTTTGTTTGTTGTCTACAGGTCGCATTTCTTAGCGGATCATCTTGAAACTTTGCATACTTATTCCTCATACCCTAAGGATCACCCCTACGTTGGTGCTTGCCCAACCGCCCAGGGGTAGAGACGCGCCCATTTTCTCTTTGTGTGCCTGTGTGTCGACTACAGGGCCATAATTCTAATGGATCGTCTTGAAAACCTTTTATACTTATTCCTTTCACCCTATGTCTTTGTGTCCATGGCCAATCCTCAGGGGCAGAGCCACTCCCAATTTTTGTGTTTATCGTCTACAGACTGCAATTCTGAATGGATCATCTTGAATCTTGGCATATTTAGCAACTATTCATTTTGGTGCAGTCCCGACCCCAGGGGTGTGGTACCACACCCACATTTATGTTATTGTTTTGTCTGTAAATACTTTACAGGTTGCAATAATTAACACTTTGTTCAAATTCAGCATATCAATCATTTCAATAATAGGGTTGTACCTATTTATATTGTTCCATATCCAACCCCCAGGGCAGAGCGTTTTAAAAAAACGGAACTAGACTGACCTCGACGTCATTTTACAATGTTGAAAGAATTTGTTGCCGTTAGAAAATATTGAAATTAGCAAAATCCCAGTTCATCATTGACTGACATTAATTGCTTTGTAATTTTTCTTAATTTTTCCAGCAATGCACCGATCGTACAGTGTGTAGGTGCCTCCCCAATGGCGACAAATGTTTTTATCTGAAAGCTGATTTACCCGTTAATCATTGTGAATTTGGACTTGACGAAGGAGACCCTGTTGCAATTAATCTCTATTATAGAGTTGATAATCAAGCCATGATGTCTTCTAAAGAACATCTTACCATTGTAAGTATATTTTAAATAACGTTTAATTTACAGAGCTTACCATTATAAGTTTATTTAAAATAATGGGGTTTTTTAACATGGTGAGATTATATATCCATCTGTGGATGTGCTGACTTGGATTATACCGACTCCTTTAATGGCGTGTGAATACAATGGGGTTAATATTCTGGGTATTTCTTTATAGATCCCTGATGTTACAGACTTGGCCAATTGTTCAGGTAAGATTTGGTCTTAGCAAGTAATCGGATATCGTAAAAAAGAATTACAGACGGTGAGAAGATAATCTTTACCATGTACTGATTTTTAAAAATATGGATATATTTTTGTAATGTAATAACAAATTTAAAGAACGCCCATACCTTCAAAACCTTGTATTGCCCATGTCTTAGATATACTATTACAATTTTGTAAAAATTTGCTTCAAATATCTCTCAAAACTTTGTCTTCGCGGGGAGATATTCCAAGCCCTAAAAAAACTTGTTTTTAAAAGCCATGTTTGTCACTTTACTTGATTGAGGGAGGGTCCATTTCTTTCAGAATGTAATTGTCATTATTAACTGTTCATTTACCATACATGTACATATTGAGGTCTAAGTAAATTCCTGAATTATTTTCTGCCAACTTCTTTTTCCGCCGTTTAATTGCAAAGTCTGTTATACGTTTACATCCCTCAATGTTCCCAAAACCGCCTAACCGGTGGGTTGCCAGTTAGTGACACCCTGACATTTTTGTCCAGTGAGCCCAATGGGTGTTTTTCTGGCAATCCAGTATTTTTCTAGTAAGATTGGTTTCCATATATACCAAATTTTCCATACTTTTATTGGAAATAATCATCCGATAAATACTTTATGGCAATGTATCTTTCATGTTCCATGTTACATAGATTTCAACAATAACAAATTATTTGCTGGTATTATACAAATGATACTATCTTTATTTTTTCAGGTCTGCCTGGTGGGCAAATTGCTGGAATAGTCATTGGTAAGTATGATACACAAACACACAAAAATAGATTTCAACAATAACAAATTATTTGCTGGTATTATACAAATGATACTATCTTTATTTTTTCAGGTCTGTCTGGTGGGCAAATTGCTGGAATAGTCATTGGTAAGTATGATACACAAACACACAAAAATAGATTTCAACAATAACAAATTATTTAAACTCCAAATAAAATAGGGGGCGGGTGGACTTTGGAATAAACTAATGTTAACATATTTTTCATCAGGTGTACTAATATTGTTGGTACTGATCGCTGTTCTTGGATTCGTACTATTCTTGTTCTTGACAAAAAAACGGCCATTTAACCGCGGTAACCCACAGCCAGTAAACAGCAGGTCTACAGCAGCTCTTCCGTCAACTTCTTACCTTGTAAGTATAGTCTTTTCTACTGATTTTGCCATAAAACGCTTATCAGACACACAATGAAGTCCGGGGTTTCGTGGATAATGGTGTTAAAAGGTAGGAAACTGTCGTTTTAGTATAGCCATTGATGCCTCTTCAACATAGAAGACCAGATCAAAATGATAAAATGGGGTTTAACATCCTATTTTTCTGCTCCGACCGAGCTAATGAAGACGGGCACACACCATAGAGTGTGCTATGAAATTTTGCCGACCTACTCTTTTTTCCAATTCCAACTGTCAAGGGTTCTTTTACGTGCACGCTAATGTACACACCTGAATTCTTTATTGTTCCATCCGAACGACTAGACAGTGTCCTTGTTAGGCCCTTCGTCCTGCACCTTTGAACTCCTTGTTACTGAGCCAGTGTCTTTCTCACTGAGTAACCGCGGAATCCCCAGGCCTGAGATATTATGTTCACATCAAACGACCAATACAACCATAATGAACCCTCTAAAGTATACGTATGTAACTCCATTTTGTCATGGGGATGGAAGAGAATGGTTTAACGCGTGTGCGTTCGATCATAAGGTGTGTGCGTTAGATCATAAGCAGTTTTGATTCCCAGCTTGTATGTGACAAGGTAAAGGGTAGCCTGTACAGCCCCGGTTTCCTTCCAGCGATTCATTGAAATGACCTAGTTTGTATCGCTTGGGCGTTAAATATTACTTCTCTCTTTCTTTCTCCTTTTCATTTTGTCATGAGGTGTAAGGGGGTAGGCACGGATTTTTTTAGGATAATATTTACTGTGCGCTGAACGTAGGGAGATGAGTGTGATTTTTGTTGTTAATTGAGCTTACTAGACTTTCAAAGAGTCTGTTGTTCTTGTAAATAACAAATTATAATAAATTATAATTTTACCGTTTGGCATATCGTATGAGCCTTCTGATATTTTGATAGAATAATGTATATTGTATGAGATTTCTGATATTTGACAGAATAATGCATATCGTGTGGAAGATGATGATCTATATCTCTATGGTGGAATGGATTTCGGTACAAGCCAGTCGTGGCAGATTCCTCATGAGCACCTTGCACTCCTTGGAACCATCACTGTCGGCAAATTCGCCAAAATTTATCAAGCCAGGATTTGGTCTCGTCCTGATATGGTTGTTGCTAAAATGCTTAAAGGTAAGGCAGTTATTTTATTTGAAGTTGTGAAGAAAGATGAAAAAAAACCACGACCTCATATTTGAACAAATATGACGAAGAAGTATATTATAATATGAACTTATTAAACAGGCATTATATTATGTAAGAGCTAAATATGCCTATTGAAGATTTTTCTGACATAAAATGTTACTTAGACATTTATTCACATGACACAACCATAATGAACTATTCTGTGGACTTGCCAATCGAGAAAATGAACTGCGAATCCGCTAATTCAGGCTATTTTTCAAACTTAACTTAAAACATTCATAATTTCGCTCAGAATAAAACAATTTGAAATTCTCAATATATACATTTTTCATTAGAAAGCAGGGGACTATTAAAATGGGTTCGTCCGTCTGTCTGTCTGTCCGTCACACTTTTTGGGACACAATAACCTTTTCTAATTGAGCTAGAATGTTCAAACTTGGTGTAGGTGTTTATTAGGTGAATGCCTTGATGGAGTTCGAAGATGAGCTAAGCAATTTTATTGGCTGATACTTTGGGACACGATAACTTTAGTTCAAATTATGTGAAAGTGTTGACACTTGCTGTAGGCCTATAGTTTTATAACATCAGTAACTTGACTAATTTCGATAATGAGCATCTTCTGCTCAGCGTAAGCAGAGGGATAAGCAATTTGATTGGTCGAGACTTTGAAACACAATAACTCTCCGTCTAATTGAGGTAGAATGTTTAAACTTGGTGTAGGTGTTCATTAGGTGAATGCCTTGATTGAGTTCGATAATAAGAGAAATAAGCAATCTGATTGGTTGATGCTTTGGGGCACTATAACTTTAGTTTTAATTAAGTGAGAGTGATGAAACTCCGAGTATAGATTCATTATATCATTACCTTGACTAAGTTTGATGATTTGATTGGTCAAGACTTTGGAACATAACAACTCTGCTTTTAATTGAGGTATAATGTTTAAACTTGATGTAGATGTTTATTACGTGAATGTCTTGACTGAGTAAATGATTACCATTTCGAGCTAAAGCTATGCAGAACTAAGCAATTTCATTGGTCGATGCTTTGGGACAAGATAACTTTGATTCTATTTGATAGAGAGTGATGAAACTTAGTGTATAGTTGATAATCAGTTTGATTGCTTGATACTTTTGAAAAAAATAAATGTGCTATTAATTAATGTGTGTCATCTATTTTTTGGGGAGATTTCGGCGGGGGACATCAGCCTCACTGTTGGCTTGTTTACACTATTATAGTAAGAATGGTCAGCTTTTTATCTAAATCTTACATAATGTATACTACATGTATCTAAAAAAAACAATCCGAAACATTATCACGAACTTGTTTGGTTTTAATTTAGATAATTACACTGTCGATGATGAGACCCTAATGAGGGCAAAGGTCAATTATATGGCGACAGTAGTTGGTAAAGATCCCAACGTCTTGGAATTCATTGGTGCTGTCGTCGATAATCCAAGCTGTAAGTATTGTCTTATTCCTTTAGGCGAAGAGATTTATTCTGGTTACACACTCTCAGATACATGCTCATGAAAAATTCCATATTTTAGCCCGTAACCCCATATTTTGGCCCGTGCTAGTATTCAGAAGTCACTATTAGCATTTGGCAAGAAATATAAATATTATGAATAACGATTTGTTTAATATTTAAGAATCGCCATATTCTTAAGCCTGAAATGTCGAACATATATTGTGCTTGATTTTCATTATCCAGGACAGACTAAATTTGGATGGGGACTGGCTAGATATGGTATATGCTCTAACTATTTTTATACCTGTGGCATGTTGACCAATATGTTTGAGTGAGCCCTGAGTTGATACTAGAATATTGTAATTCATGTCAGTATGTTTGAGTGATCGTGTTAATACAAGAATATTGTAAATGATATTGTATATTGTATCAATATGTTTGAATGGAACCGGTGTTGATATTTGTTTAGAATATTGTAAATGATGATATTATATAACTGTATTTGCGTTGAACTTATATTGATATTAGAATAAGTTTGAGCCCAGAGTTGATATTCGAATATTGTAAATGGTATATATACTATTCAAAAAAAGTAGGGGATATTTGATTTTTAAGTGTTATTAAAGTCACCTAATGAAACTGACGAAGAAACAAATGACAAAATGAAATGAAGTTCACATTCATCGATTTATTCCAAATGATCGTTACACTAAGTAAGGCACAGACTGACCATTATAAGGGTAAAATGATACCCGGGGTCAAACAGCAAAGTTACCACAGCATCACAACCAAGTCAGTAACGGGTAAATCCTCCTCTGTTTGCCAAACAAGCATTGATCCGACGTGGCATACTCCTAATGAGACGTCTAAGGTCATTTTGGTCCAGATTGTCCCATTCCTGTTGCAACGCAGCAGCAAGTTCTTGGACATTGGCAGGACGTTGTTGACGTTGACGTAACCTCTGTCCAAGCATGGGGGAGAGGTCGGGACTCAGTGCTGGCCAAGGTAATGTGGTGATGTTCTGTTGTTGGAGGCAACCTGTAACGATCCTGGCCCTGTGACATCTTGCGTTGTCATCCTGGAAGATGAAACGGCGGCCATGACGTCGTGCGAACGGCACAACATGGACTGCCAAGATGTTGTCCCGGTAGTACTGGCCTGTAACACGCCCTGCAACAACATGTAAAGCCGTTCTTCCAGCAACAGTGATGCCTCCCCAAACCATAACAGAACCACCCCCAAATCGATCATGTCTGATGACGTTAACGTCTTGGAAGCGCTCGTTTCGACGACGCCACACCCTCCTACGTCTGTCCAAAAAATCAACAGTGAACCTTGACTCATCTGAAAACATCACATTGCTCCAGCGTCGATTATCCCAGTGTTGACGATCCCTACACCAACGACGTCTTGCCTGAATGTGATGATCTCTCAAACAAGGGATCACGCGAGGACGTCGGGCGCGAAGGTGACCCCTATGCAGTCGATTCCGAATCGTCTGGCCACTCACTCTCACACCAGTGTCTGTTTGAAGACGAGCGCTGATCTGATTTGCTGTGATGACACGATTTCTCAAGGCCAAGGTACGGATAAATCGATCCTGGGCTTGAGTTGTCGCCCTTGGTCGACCTGAGCGTGGTCTGTCCTGTACAGATTGTGTATCACGGTATCTGGACCATAGCCTGCTTATGACAGACTGAGAAACATTCATCGTCCGCGCCACAACCGCCTGTGTTGTGCCGATCTGTGGCATGCCAAGGGCACGTAACCTTTCATTTTGGGTAAGCCGACGCATATCAAAATTTGTTTTCTGGTCACTAAAACAATTAAACTGATGTTTCCACCCTGGAATTCAATGCCACAATGACTGTAACATTCAAAGTCAGAGTCGTGCAAATCTTGGGTTGGACCCCCATGATGATCCCAAGCATCACCTGCATTCCATGCGGTAGCTTTTGGTGCGTTTGGGCGTCACATGTAACTGGAAATGTTTCTTCTGTTAGGTTCTATAGTGACTTTTTTCGTAGTCATTTGCATATTTTAGTATTATGCCCCCAAAATCAAATATCCCCTACTTTTTTTGAATAATATATTATAATATTGTATTTTAGTGGGACCAGTGTTGATATCAGAATACTGTGAAGTCGGTCAACTAGATAAATGGTTAATACAACAACGTGGTAATGTCACTGATGATACTACTGAAATTCTGCAACGTCTTGCCTTTGGTATAAGTAAAGGAATGGCTTATTTGGCATCTAAGAAGGTTAGTGTACAAAACGTGAACTTGATAAATTTTTCTCGAATTACCAGACTGATAAAATGTCGATTTTGTGGTCCAAAAGTCCCCTTTCTTTCAAATTACAGACTGGGGCTTAAGGATGAACCCTGGTTACTTTCCAATTTTTCGGATTGTAAATTTTGAATTCCTTTTACCTTCTGTTCACATTTTAGTCAAGCTGGTAAACACATTGCAGGACAAAGTCCTCTGTGTCAGTTTTTAAGATAGGTTGCCGGGCAACGAAACATACATCCACGGCAGCTAAATCGTCCGATCGGTCGACAAGGATTGTCGCATATTTATTCTTTTGTAGGTAATTTGGGAATTTACGAGACAATTTCATATTGTTCAGATTACCATTTTTGCCGTTTGAGGGTTCACAAGGTTTTACAAACTGAAACAAGGGCTTTAACTCTGGAAGTAATTTACAGAAAATTTTGATTTTCAGGCTTTTTCGTTTTACTAATTTAAACACTGCATATAAATTTCATACAGATGGGATGATAACTTTTGTCATTCGAACGTTCACAAGGTTCACTGGCTAAAACAAGGGCCATAACTCTAGAAATAAGTGTCGGAAATTGCTGAAATTCTATGGACCTCCGTTTCACAAATTTAAATGATTCATATAAATTTCATACATATCGAATGATAACTTTCATCAATCGAGCAAAATTGAACAAAGTGAAACAGGGGCCATAACTCTAGAAGTATTTATTGTAGGCTTTGTGGTTTCACTAATCTAAATAATGCATACAAATTTCATATAGATCGAATGATAACTTATGTCGTTAGAGCATTCAGATGGTTCAACAAAGTGATACAAGGACCATAACTCTAATGCTGAAATTCAATAGGATTCTTCTTTTTACTAATTTGATTGGCGTACTTTAGATGTTAGAGCGTTCATGGGGTGCAACAAAGTGAAACAAGGGCCATAACGGAATGTAATAAACGGAAATTGCTGAAATTCTTTTTACTAATTTAAATGACAAATACAAATTTCATACAGATCGGCAGATAACTTTAGAGGTTAGAGCCTTCACAAGGTGCAACAAAGTGAAACAAGGGCCATAACTCTAGCAGTAGTAACGGGAAATTGATGAAATTCAATAGGATTCTTCGTTTCACTAATTTAAATAACGCATATAAATTTCACAAAGATCGTGTGATAACTTTTGGCGTTACAGCGTTCACAAGGTTCAATAAAGTGAAACAACGGCCATAACTCTAGACGTAATACGTAATAAACGTAAATTGCTGAAATTAAATAGGATTCTTTATCTCACTGATGTAAACAACATACAGTATATCCATTTTAAAACAATCGGATGATAACTTTTGGCGTTAGAGCGTTTACAAGGCTCAACAAAGTGAAACAAGGGTCATAACTCTAGACGTAATAAACGGAAATTACTATTGTAAACAACATATATCAATTGGGCGATAACTTTTGGTGTCAGCGCGTTTACAAGGAATTGTGGACGACGACGGGCGGACAGACGCACGGACGGACGGGGGCGACGGCAATATATGTACACGTTATCATATGGGCGTATAAAAATTGGGGCATAAGGCAGTACCTTATCGAAACTCAAAATAGTTTGAAGTGACCTTCAAATACTGTAAATCATGTCAAAAATGTTTAAAACATCGCATGTATCCTTTTTTAGTTGTTCCGATACTAGAGCTGTCGATGGACCTATGTGGTGTAGAACGACAGTCCATTTTTTTTCGACTGAAGCCCAGTTTTAATGTGAGCATATCTTAGGTGCCGTGTTGAGTTCATGACTAACACCAGAAATCAATTTTGGGCAATAATAACATCCATTCACCATTTATTACACAGATTGTCCACAAAAAACTTGCAGCAAGAAATGTTCTGCTTACTTTCACACGGGAGGCAAAAATTACAGGATTTGGGCCATCAAAAGTTGAACTTGAAGATAAAGACAGTTCAGCAAAGGTAAGGGTTACGAGACTTTGTGGCGAATGCTATGCTTGCATCGCGGTATACTTACCTTTCGGGAATACCCGTTACCACTTGACAACCGGCTCTACTGTGCCGCAATCAGCAACGAACAGCTTTCGATTCACCTTGACATCCGGATTAAAATTTGTGGACATTGTTCCTTCTGTTTTTAAAAAGCTTTGTATTGAAAGTTATAATAAATTTTTTAACTTGTATGAACTATTTATATAATTTTCCTAATTTAGTGCTATTAATTTTACAAATCGTGGAATGTTCCGTTGATCTGGATTAATTGCTAACGCATTATGATCCGCTATTATGTTCTTCATTAAACCCACTAACTCTCAAGATACTAACAACTTTTGTATATTTCAGGAGAGAATTCCGATCAAATGGACAGCACCAGAATGTTTGGGATCCCTGAAAAATGCCGATGTAAAGAGTGACGTCTGGTCTTATGGGATTGTATTGTGGGAAATATTTAGCTTAGGTAAAGTCCTGTTGCGTTGCCAGGGTTCTCAACGCCCGGGGGCAGAAACACCTTTAGCCTTGTTATTATCACGTACAGTAAAGCGGTGGACACACTAGCCGAATCGTTCCGTCGAATCAATCGGCACCGAATTGCAGCCGAATTCATTCGGCCGAATGAGTGGACACACTAGGCGAATTCTCCGCCCGATTCACCAGTCGATTGCATCACCGTTTACGTCACACGATTAAACATGGCAGCGACGTTGTCTTCAAACAGTGGTGATTGACTAATGAATTCTAAAAATCGGAGAATGCTTCGGTGAAGAGGACACACAAGGCGAATATATTCGGCCGAATATATCAAACAGGTTTGATTCGGGTGAATCATTCGGCAGAATGACACTGGACACACTAGCCGAATCATCCGCTTTAAACAATCTAAAATTGATACAACGGGTATTAATGGGTATTATTGGTCAGAGCCCAGAGGAACATGTGCGCCTATTCACCAGAATCGGATGATAAAATAGACATACATTGGACAATCATTATCTGATATGGGTGAAGCAGATGATTTAGATGTTGTAGTAAATGGAACCTGTCATTTGCAAAGAATCGGATGACACCGTCTAATTGGTCTTGGGTATGTTCAAGAGTGGTATTCGCGAACCCATAAATCATCATAAATGTCCGTTGCATCTTTAGTAACATTATCAAAAAAGACATTCTTGTCAGGTCTTCATCTTGGTACAAGCTGAATACAAGCTTAAACCTTCATTCACCAAGAATAACTATTTCTCAAGCTTCCAAAAACGGCAACTTTCCCGGACACATTGCAATTGATTGTATCTCTTCGCTAGTTGTATATTAGACGGACACAATTTGTGTAGCAATTGCATAATTAATTGATCCTTTGCATTTATAAGCCAACATTTTTGTCAACTGGTTGATTAATAACATGGTTAATCTAATGTATTACGTAAACTAGTGGTAGCTAGAAACAGGTGGATGATTATTAAATAAATATTTTCTTTCTAAATTTAAAACGCACTTTTGCTTAAATATAAGATAATTGTGTATTTATTTGCACCTTACAGGAGAGACACCATACAGTAGTATGAAGGGTCGTGACGTAGAAACTAGAGTGAAATCTGGTTACAGAATGTCCAAGCCTGAAATGTGTGAAGAATTGTAAGTATTCTGAATCAACAACTGAGACAAGAATTTCTCCCATATTATTATACAACTCTGCTATTGCTATGAGTAAGGAATCCAGTAGCATGATTAATAATAAGTGCGGGGGGGGGGGGCTGTACGACACACAAACAAATCTACGGACAAGACACAATATGCAGACATCACAAACAACAAACGTACATATCAGATCAAGTGAATGGATCCGGGGGCTAGTCGTAAGCGGCCACAGCGCTGTAGTGGACAGCCCTGGGCCGGTAATGATACAGACTTCACTCAAAAGGAACTATAAAGGGGATATTTCCCAAACGTTGTATAATACCAATACTAGTATGCGTCATGATCGGCTATTGACGGTGTGGGAATTTGTCTTTAATAAACGTGCATGCATAAAAGAGAGTATTCACAGTCCTATCAATGAATATCTATAGATATGCTGTCTGTTGATCTTTCACATAAGACCCCAACCAGTTCAGGCGCGCGTCCAGAAGCTGTCGCAGAGCATAGCTTTTTTCCCCTACATTTATAAAGATAACGTCAAAAAAACTGACGTGCGAAGTATTACCGTCGTTTTGGTTCACTCCACTGCATGTATAGCACCTAAATGAGCAGGAATATTGTCTCAGGCTTCTGATATTATCAAATTCGCCGGAAGTTCCCGCCGACCTAACGCCAAACTTGACGTTGTCACCATCTTGGACCCTTGCCGTTTCCGCTACTGTGAGCAACTAAGCAAATGAATGCAACTGAAAAGGGTCGACCTGAGCGCCTCGTACAACTCAAAGCAACTAGTTGCGGTCAATTGCACATGTTCAACTTTCTGCAACTAGAGGCAACTATTTGCAGTCGACATGAACGGTCTTACAACTTGTGTCAACTCGTTTCCAATGAAATAACATCACGTGAAAAGAGAAATGTGTCATGTGACTTTATAAATAAGCAAATGGAAGCGAACAATGACACCAACTTTTCAAATTTTGATGATTTCGACAATAATATATTAATAGAATTGTGGAAAAACCGGCCATGCCTTTGGGGTGCTTGCCATGTTGTAGATCACGTGGCGAATAAATAGATCACCCACACACCAGTATTCACTATAACCGTGAATATGATAGTGCTGAGACAGTATAAGAAAACAGAGGATTAGAAGAATGATATTATAACGGAATCGAGCGCCCCAGGCGCGAAAAAAGTTCAGATATGTAACCGAACTTTCAATTTTTCGGGACTGGGCCTGAAAATTTTAGTCATTGTCATGGCAAATGGAACCAAATTCTCGCTAACGAGAGGATAAGAAATGAGACAGAATCTTGTGGCCTATCTGTCAATTTCGCCTGTTTTGTAATTGTTTGTTTACCTCATTAATTCATTTAGTCTGAGACCGACTGCGGTGAGTACCTTTTTTTGAGACCGACTATTCTTTTGCCATGGGGGAAAAACATTTCATAGAACAACATACTCACAACATAATAAGAGTGACAAACATTTTTTAAAACATGACAAGCAGACATGGTTATTTTATACTATAGTTTTGTGTGACGTATGCAATTTAGGCTCACTGATTCACACAAATACATAGTATTTAGGATCTATTCTGGCATTGTTTGTTTACCTCATTAAATTAATTCATTGAGTCGCCGATGCATAATTTTGAGACCGACTGCAGTGACTGCACTTATTTTGAGACCGACTATTTTTCTCCCTGGGGGAAATTTAGTTCATAGACCAACATACTCACAACAGAATAAGAGTGAAACACAACATTTTTTCAAACATGATAAGTTGACAAGGTTATTTTATACTAAAGTGTTGCGTGATTAGCGTGACGTATGCAGTGAGCACTTATTTCGATACCGACCGCTCTTATTTTGCGACCGACTGCATTGATTTTGCGACCGACTATTTTCTTCCTGGGGGGGGGGGGTACATTTACGCCCCTGCTGACTGCAATTAGTTGCTTTGAGTTGCAAAGTCGACATATGCCCCGCTTTACGTCCATAGATAAGATCAATGTTGTGATATGTTTATTGTTTGTCTAAAATAAAAGTTAGTAAACAAACTAACTTTCGTTTAGTCTTTTGAAACAGAACATGCAGAGAGTACCCAAGTACATCACGATTAATATATTTGATAATCTTTGTAAGAATTAAAATATCATATTTTCAGCCATTATGATCTGATGAGGAACTGCTGGGACGAAAATCCAAAGAAGCGAAACAACTTCAAGAAAATCTCTAAAAAGATATCTGATACGTTTAGTGAGGGTCAAACGGACAGTTACTACTATTACCGTTAAATCATGTACAATGTATTATTTGTGTTTCCCCCATGTCCCTTGTGTAAATTTAATCAGTACCATTATAGATTTTATTTTGTATTAATTAAAGAGGCATTGTCCCCTTTAAGATACGACTGTGTCACTTAGATTAAAATAAGCAGGCTACAGCAGTACCGGGATTTTAATAATTAGGCCAGTTATTTTAAATACGATATTAAATGAAATTAATTTCACTTATTTTCTTGATGCAAGTGACAATACCTCTTTAAAAAATATATTTCTAGTTGTTGCCTGATACTATGATAGACCATTTTATGTACTTTTTGGGGATTTATATTTCTTAAATTTTAGACGATTTTAATAGGAATTATTTTTGCACCTATTATTATTACTCTTTATATCCATGTCCTTATAAGATGTTATCTTCACTATTGTCAAATTTAAAAAAAAAACTAGGCTGTCTTATAGTATGGTTCATATCTGAAAATGTGAAGAGGATTTCACGTTCCATTATTTCCCCGTGGAATAGCAGATTCTGGGGAGCACCAGGGAGTTTCCACACTTCCATCCCACCCCCTAAAAAAGTTTGTAAAACAAAAAACATGAAGTTAAATAAAAATGTTTATTACAATTCTGTTAATTAGTAGGGCAAATGGGTTATCGGGGTTTAAAAGATGGGGTAGGGGGAATGGTTCACAAATATTGATAAAATTTTAATCTGTCCTTGCTTGCTATGTGTATTTAAAGTATAAATTTATTTTGTCACATATATCCATGTTCACATTGTATCATTTTATTGTTGTTTTTGTGTCCATTTTAATAGTTTGCTCCTGTTATAAGGTTGCTAATATGCAACAGTTCAGCAGTTAAGCTTTTTCTTTGTGTGTTTAAATATACACTGTTGTTCTATGTTTTAGATTTGTTGCCCTTGTTTATTTATTTATATTCGTTGTCAATTGTCATTTTTATCTATTAAGACAAGTAGTAGCTAAGATTTTTGTTGTTCTTAATTGTTAATTCGGTTTGTCAGAAGTTGTTCTTTTTATCTATTTGACAACTAATAGATACGATTTTTGATGTTCTTATTAATTTTGTTAATTCACTCTGTAAGTAGTTGTTCTTTTATCTATTAGACAACAAGTAGCTAAGATTTGTGTTGTTCTTTATTTATTGTCTCCGTATTATTTTATATTTGTCTTTTATTTAATTATTAAAAGTCAACATCTGGTTTATATTGGAACACAAATAAATCAAACAGAATGTATAAACATTCCTATACACTCTCTTAAAATTATAAATTAATATTCCATATTCCGATCTGTTATCTATGCATGCCGTGAGTTTGATTTCACAATTATGTGTGCAAAGCAAGGCCCTTACATAGGAGGGGTGGGGGCTGGGGGCCTTTGCTTCCCCTAAAGCTGTGTAAACCATTTCATAATTTCAGCAAATAGAGAGGGTAGAATTATGTTTTTCTCAAGATATATTATAGGGTTTTTCGATCAAATGGAGAATTGAAGGGGAAATAAACATATTTTTTTTACATATAAGTTTATATTAATAAATAGTTATTTAGATAAAGTTTTAAAAGTATAAAAATTGTATTTTGAAATTTCTTTAATCATAAAAAAATCAACTGAGCACTGGCACTGAAAAGCAGTTATGCAGTATGCAAAGGGGGGGGGGGTCATTGAAACATTTGCCCTGGGGTGCTACGTAAGCTTGTGAGGGCCCGGGTGCAAAGAAGTGGGGTCGCTGTTCGACATCGAGGATTCTCCAAGCGAGTTATTGTAAACAAATAATATACCATTCGTTCAGAAACTGACCTGGTCTGGGGTTTTCATTCACACCACTGAAGTTCATTGTAGTAATAGTATAAATAAAATACATTAATTAACTGAATACGTTTTTGGCGTTTTGGAATTTAGTATGACCGACTATGACCCTGGTTTAACCCCTCCTTTATTGGTCATTTGGTCATGGTGAAATATCGCGTACATTCATCGGTCTTATAGGGGTATATACATCTTTTATTAGGGTCTTCAACATACACACAGGGCAGGCATTATAAATAAAACCACCAATCAAATGCGAAATGACCAGCCAATGAAATGTACGTCTCCAACCGATGATATCTACTCTTTGTCAACGCTTTAAATTTGTAAAGAAAAGTTTGGGTTTTAACCAGTTCTTCAGGTATGTCCCTCGCTATAAGTGTTATGACTTCACTCTAAATTTAATACTTGTATATTATGTATATTAATGACTCTAGCTCATAATGTGTTATTTAGAATTTTCTCACCGATTACCTTTTCCGGTACAATAACCATGACCTTAAATAATGCTCGAATGTCAAGACACTCTGTAGCGGATAATTCAGGAAATACTAATAATTTTAATTGGCCACAGATCACCAATGTTTTCCCTATTGATTTTAAAGTTAATTCTCGTCTCTATCTTTCTCGCAAATTTTCAGTGGGTAGAACGCCTTTCTACGACAGATGGAGCAACATATGGCACAACCTCTTGCTCAAAAGCACATATGAGATTCATCATGTAAAACTTGAGATACACAAAGTGGAAGTAGAGTTCATTAAACATGCAATTTTCCGCCATACATTTCATCCTAACCAAGCTCTTAACTGTCGTATCCTTCCGCCTCAAAATCATAGTATCATGAATATTAACCAAAACCTTACAGAAAATGTAGGCCTATATTCAAATCCTTTTCTTGGATTCTACACCAAAAGGGGACAAAGGGAAAGGGTGGGAGAGACTAAAAATAACTTTGGCCCTTGTGACGGCGTAGGAATAGTTGGTGAGCTGGGTCCAATTACTTAAAACTTCTCGGTTCGCAAGAACCACCATTGCTTACTCAATGTGGTGTAAGTAATGACAGAGATCTAAGAAACAGATTTGATTTAACAGTTATTTCCAACTCTTGCACCTTTAAGTGTAGAAATCAAAAACCTACCGCTTCAATTTGATATCATACGTTGCCAAATTCGAAATAATATTGGTAAAAACAATTATTTGGAAATTAATTACAGTAACGGTGCTTGACGACGATGTGGTTGCATTTGGTCTGAAAATATCAAATACTCAGGGCTTAGTTATTCATTAAACTCAGATTAATTATCAACATTTAATTAACAAAAAAAATAAATAAATATCAACGCTAGATTATCTTCTGGCTTGGATTCAATCGATCTATCAATTAAAGACTTGTCCACCAATTAGATCGTTTATAATTATTATATCTGACAATAGACAGGCTGGTATAGCCACCGTAGATTGCAGAATGGCGGAAAGTTGAATTTGAAAGAAATGTAGACCTGTTTTGTCAAGAAAAAGAAGTGAGGAGAGAAAAAGTTTACCATTTACTTAAGAGGTAATATAGATCGATGGAATTTCGATCCAGCATATATTTGTAAATACTGAACGGACCGTACGGATGATCTATTAGAAATAATTAAACTTTTACAGTATGTTTGAAAGGGATTCCTATAGCGCTCAAATCACGCACACGGGCATTTTATACGCCCACATTGAAATGTGGTCGTATATTGTCGTCGCCCCCGTTCGGTCCGACATGCGTAATTTCTTGCGGACGTTCTACTGGCTAAAGTTAATATCCGATTGACTTTAAATTTATGCACATGTTTAAGATAATGAGATGAAGAATCCTATTGATTTTCAACAATTACTGCCAGAGTTATGGCCCTTGATCACTCTAAAAAAATATTGTGGACGCTCTGGAGGCTAAAGACGAAACACAGTGTTTTAAGGTTATGAGACGCAAAATCATATCGATTTTCAGCAATTTCCGATAATTACTGCCAGTCATGGTCCTTGGTCACTTAGAAATATCTTGTGGAACCTTTAGGGGCTAAAGTTAATATTCATTGACATAGTGTTTAAGGCCATGATACGTAGACTCCTATTGATTTTCAGCGGTCTCTGATAATTACTGTTAGAGTTATTGCCCTTGATCGCCTTGAAATATCTTATGGGCGCTCTAGACGCGAAAGTTAATATCCAATTGACTTTGGATTTATACACAGTGTGTAAGGTCATAAGACGAAGAATCCTATTGATTTTAACGATTTCCGATAATTACTGACAGAGTTATGTCCCTTGATCACTTTGAAGTATCTTGTGGACGCTCTAGATGCTAAAGGTACATGTAATATCCGATAACTTGAAATTTATACAGTATTTAAGGTCACGATTTTCAACGATTTCCGATAATTATGGCCCTATATCACTCTAAAAAATCTCGTGGACGCTTTAGAGGCTAAAGTTAATATCCAGTTGACTTTATATTTAATACAGTATTTAAGGTCATGAGACGAAGAAGCCTATCAATTATCAAAGATTTCCAATGATTATGGTAACTGATATTAAATGATTTGTATGCTAAATGTTAGAATAGGGCAGAACTAGACGTCAAAAGGATTGTTACTCGTAGTGTGTTGTAAAATGTTTTCATTTCTGATAAAAGAAAAAAAAATATGCGATAACCCTTGTTGACTCCCTGACGACTTAGCTGCTGTGGGCGTATGTTTCGTTGCCTGGCTACCTATCTTTAATTATATTGTGTTTTGGTGTTGGAGGGTGGGGGATGTTTTGTTTTTTACTCATCCAAGTGTTATCTCTTCTAGATTGAGCACAATGTCTGGTCAGAAAATTGTCGTTCCTTCTGAAAACAGCAAGGGGGAAATCCCAGCTGTTCAGTTCAACAATTCTAAAAGCCAACCAATAGGTGTGATCGTATTACAGGAGTGGTGGGGACTAACCCAAGAAATACAGAATAATGCGCAGGACCTGGCAAAGCGAAGCAACTTTACTACGATTGTTCCTGACCTATACCGTGGGGTTGTTACTACCGACTATGAATATGCCGGACATTTGATGTCTAATCTTGATTGGCAAGGGGCCGTTCAAGATATCCGAGGGTGTGCCAAGCATCTAAAAGAACAGGGTTGTGCTAAAGTGGGTGTCATAGGCTTTTGTATGGGTGGAGCTCTGTCTCTCGCATCAGCGGCCCTAGTTACGGAGATCAGCGCTTCTGTGCCATTTTATGGCATTCCAAGTAAAGACCTTGCGGATCCATCCAGCATTAAAATACCTGTCCAGTGCCATTTTGGTGAACAAGATGTCTTGGAAGGATTTTCTGCCCCGGCCGATCAAGACAAGTTAAAAGAGTCTCTAAAAGCAAGCGGAGTCCAGTTCGAATTTTTTTCCTACCCTGCGGGTCACGCCTTTGCAGATTCCAATGGACCTAGGTATAATAAAGAAGCTACCGAGTTAGCTTTTGGCAGAGCTGTTGAGTTTTTCAAGAAAAACTTGGCATAAATATGTGGATTTAATTATATTTTAGCATGTATATGTTTTATTTCCTTTTATGGAACGACTTTACCCGGAATTACTAATCTAAAAGACTATACATTGACAAAGTAAGGAAGAACTTTAGCTACGGAAGTTTTTTTTGTTGTACTTTTGCACCCAAACGGAAAATAGTTTTGTTACAGACTAAGCCTGTGATTCAATATGATAATTATTATCCTAGCCCTTGATTACACGAATCTATTAAAATTATCAAATCTTTAATGTTTCTGTCAAATATTTATTCCGGGTATTATAATATGCTAAAAAGTCCCAGACCACAGCCTTCAACTTCACAATCGAGAGATGACTAACTATTGCCCAAATACGAGAGGAGCAAAAACGAAATAGTAATAAAGTGTGATAATGTTCCAAATGATCTTGTTACCCCTCATCAAAAATATCACATTTACATTAAGAGATTCAATTGAAGATCTATTGGATTTAATTAACTCCATACGTTAGAAATATTATCTAGATGCAAGAGTGGCCCCAAGTCCTAGTCGGGGAAGAGTGTAACAGAACAGTGAGGGCTAAACACTGTATTATATTAAATCGAACATTTTAATACAGTATAAATATCTCTGTATTAAAATGTTAGATTTAATATAATACAGTGTTTGGCGCTCATTGCTCCGTATTTATAATTTTTCGGAGCCACGGTGGCCAGGTGGGTCAGACGCTGACCCGTTAGTCTGGAGGTCGCGGGTTCAATCCCGGTGTATTGTGATTTTCTGGCGTGGTTTCCCCGTGTCAGTGGTGCAGGACGGATGGCCTGACAGCTGTCTAGTCGTTTGGTTGGAACGAAAAACTGAGGTCTCGTGTACACATTGGCGTGCACTTAAAAGATCCCTTGGCAGTTGGAATTTCATATAAGAGTAGGCCGTAGTGCAGCTGTCTGGGCAAACATTTTTCCTCATAGCACACTGCATGGCGTATTAAACCAGTCGGAGCAGAACAGTCGTACGTAAACCCCATTTCATTTCATTTATAAATATCACTCCATATATTGATTATATAGGTTATGCCAAAGACACATACAGATAGACAATGGCACAACAAAGAAGATGATGAACGAAGCTTTACGATCGGATATAATATTTTTCATTATCCTGGTTGGTGCATAAAACAAAAAAAAGTAGCAAGTTAAACCCCCATTTCCTTATTATATATATTCCGAATATGTCGGTGAATATTTTATTAAGCAATTTTAAAGCCCTTCCTTTTATTTCTTTACGGATTAAAATATGGAAGAAAAATACATTTATCTATGTTTATTTTAGAGCAACATGGTTTGCTCATATTCTAAAAGAATGCACTCGAGGTTATCTAGCACATTTAAGAATAAGTACGGTAATGAAAACCACAAGCTTCTGTTCAAGGTATATTTTTAAAAGAGACACAATACTTTTTGGGGAGGTGTAGTCGGCAACCTGCACCCTGAGTCTACGTTTCTTTTTTTCTTTTTTTTTGTATCTGGCTGGTGTATATAGTCCAAATTATCCAGTATAGTCTTGATGACGCAAGCATAATGTATTTGTTAATAAATTTACCTCCTCCACGCAGGATGCTACTTTTGCTTGATAAAAACTGACCCAAGAGCAAGTCTATAAATAAATCGACCAATCAAATGCGAAAATATCAGCCAATGGAATTTCTGTCTCCAATCGATGATCTTCACTCTTTATGTACGCTTTGTGAAGCATCGTTTAGGCTTTAACCAGTTCTTCAGGTATATGTCTCTAGCTATAAGTGTTATTTTATCACCCTAAATATATTAATACACGTATATATTACCATGACTCTAATTAATTTGGGAAATTATGAGTATTATTTAGAATGTTATTACATATTTTAACGAACGGGTACAATAACCTTGACCTTGCATATTACCCGATTGTCAAGACACTCAGTTTATAGAGGATAGTTCAGGAAATACTAATACATTATTTACTTCTCGGTCTTCAAGAACCACCGTCGCATTCGCATTCCTTAGGTGTAGTGAGTAATGCTAGAGCACAAAGAAACAGATTTGATTCAACAGATAATTTCAACTCTTGCATTTTTAGTGAAAAAATCACAAACCTATAACCGCTTCAATTCGGTATTCATATTTTTCCAAATTAGAACCAATATTTGTAAAAAAAAAAATATTATTTGGTAAAGGTGCGTGACGATGTGGTTGAATTTGGTCTGAAAATATCAAATTTCTCGCGCTAATATATGCCTAGATTGGTTATTTGATATTGAATAAAGAAAACAAAATCAAGATATCAACGCAAGATATTCTCCCGGCTTGGATTCATTCGACCCACAAATAATTAAAGACAGACCCATCAATTAGATTTCGCGAATACTTTAAGATGGCGGCGGACGTGTTATAATATCATGATGTAATCCAACACTAAAACTGACTTGTAGCCTACCGTGGCGAAAAGTTCAACTTGACAGAATCTGCCAACAAAACAGGTCTACATTTCTTTCAAGCTCAACTTAAAAGACAAAGAAGAGAGAAGGTGTATCCCATTTATATACGAGGAAACAGGGGTCGATGGAATTTCGCTTCATCATATTATATGTAAATTCTGATGGGAAATAAACCATTTTCGGACTGATATTTCTATTAGAAATTCAACATTTACAATAATGTCTTCCTATGGATTAAATAACTATCGGTGACTTAATATGTGTTTTTCGGTTTGAGTGTGGTTTTATTTTATGTATTTTCTTTACTAATCTAGATGTTATCTCTTCTAGGTTGAGCACAATGTCTGGTCAGAAAATTTCCGTTCCTTCTGAAAACAGCAAGGGTCCGATTCCAGCTGTACAATTCAACGATCCTAAAAACCAACCCATGGGTGTGATCGTATTACAGGAATGGTGGGGACTAAACCAACAAATACAGGATACTGCGCAGGAGCTGGCAAACCGAGGTAATTTTACTACGATTGTTCCAGACCTATACCGTGGGGAAGTCGCTACGGACAATGAACATGCCGGACATTTGATGTCTAGTCTAGATTGGCAAGGAGCCGTTCAAGATATCCGAGGGTGTGCCCAGCATCTAAAAAAACAGGGTTGTGCTAAAGTGGGTGTCATAGGCTTTTGTATGGGCGGAGCTCTGTCTCTCGCATCAGCAGCCCTGGTAACGGAGGTCAGCGCTTCGGCACCATTTTATGGCATTCCAAATAAAGAACTTGCGGATCCATCCAGCATTAAAATACCTGTCCAGTGCCATTTTGGTGAACAAGATGTCTTGGAAGGATTTTCTGCCCCGGCCGATCAAGACAAGTTAAAAGAGTCTCTAAAAGCAGGAGGAGTCCAGTTCGAATTTTTTTCCTACCCTGCGGGTCACGCCTTTGTTAATTCCAAGGGAGATAACTATAAGAAGGAGGTTGCTGAGCTAGCTCTTGGCAGAGCTGTTGACTTTTTCAAGAAAAACTTGGCATAAATATGTGGATTTAATTATAGTATATATAAATATATATACTTTATTTACTTTAATAAATATATACATATGCAAGTATATGTTTTATTTCATTTTCTGTGACGTATTTTCCCGGAATTGCAAGTCTAAGACATTAGCAAAGGAAAGAAGAATTTTAGCTTGGGAAGTTTTGTTGTACTTTTGCATCAAAGCAGAAAAATAGTTGTGTTACATAAAAAGCCTGTGATTCAAATGATAATTATTATCCTAGCCCTGGATTACACGAATCTATTAAAATTATCAAATCTTTAATGTTTCTGTCTAATATTTATTCCGGGTATTATGTGTAGGATAAAGCACGAGGCTGAGGTTATACTGGGGAAAGAAAGACTGAAGAAAATAACCTGAGAATAAGAACAACCGAGGCCGTCTGGCCGAGGTTTTTCTGTCGAGGGTTTTTTCTGAAGTCTTTCTTCCCAAGCATAACGAAGTCGAGGACTTTATCTTGCTTATAAACCGCCTATGTTTACATGAGGATTCCCAAAAATGGAAAAAAAACCCTACCCTGGAAGTCGTGGAAGAATAACCTGTTACAATTAAAAAGAAAAACTTTCAGAAGAATAACCCCAAATTTCCCTGTATATGCAAAGCCGCCCCCGACTATCGATCAGACCTTAAGTTATTCCGGGCATAGGATATACGCAAAGATCAAAGAGATTTGCCGTTACAGGTTTATAAAATATGCTAAAAAGTCACTGACCACCATACTCCTCGCAGTGTTTCGTTTGATTAGAGCTAATCCCACTACTCACTGCTGTAAAGAAAGCAAATTCTTGTTCTAAATTATGACTGGTCAATAGTCCGATTAGCAAACAATAGCTAACTGCGTAACAATACCAAACAGAGCTCCAAATTGGACCAAATATGTTTACATAACGTTGCGTCATGACTCACGATTTTATTATGCCCAATTAACCAGTGCATAGAAAAATATTGCAGAAAAACTAATTGTGTGACAAACAAGGCTTTCAACTGTCAACACGGATATAATGTAAACAATGTTGTTTTGAGACGAACAACCCTTTCACCGTTTTTATAACCTTAAATCACTGTCCAAAGTTTTAGGGAAGGACCCTGATTAAAAGAAGGGCTGTCTTGTTGCGGTGTTTGGGGATATATTTGATTGAACGGGAAGAATAGACACACTCCCTCAAAAGTATCAGAAGCTAATCCAGCAATGGCCAGAGAGGGATTTCTCGGGCCATAGCTTCAAGAATATGCTGACCACGGGCTTCAAGTTCACAATCTAGAGACGACAAATTATTAAGGAGCACAAACGATCCTAACCTAAACATTACTAAAGTGCGACCATTTTCCAAATGACATTATTACCCCGCATCAAAAATTTCACATTTACATTTAAAAAGAAAGACATCGAATTGAAGATCTATTAGATTTTATTTACTCACGATCGTGCGTTAGAAATATATCTAGATGTAAGAGTGGCCCCATGTCCTAGTCGAGGTGGGGTGTAACAGAACAGTGAACAACAAACACAGTATTGCATCTAACATTTTAATACATTATAAATTTCTCTCCATATCGATTGTACAAAGACACATACAAATAGACAATAATACAATAAAGTAGCTGATGAACAGAGGTTTATGATCGCATATGTACTTCATTATATTATGAAGAACTAGCTAGGGTTGCATGACTATACCAGAGTGGCTTTTTCAGCATTCATAACATTATCACCTTAAAGCCTCTGGTCGTCATTTTGCGAGCAAAATGTACATTTTTACGACTTAATCCACTTTGAAATGTACTCAAATTGATTACTGAATATTTAATAAAGAAATTTTTAAAGAATAAAACCGGTAGATAATCCCCCGGCTTTAATTTAGTCCGATTAAAACGAATCCCATCAAAAGATTTTAGTGAAGTTTATAGTTGGCACTGGTTAGTTTTGGCCATATCCCGTTTATCCCTCAATGATGACCAGAGACCTAAAGGTACATGTGTACATACACCTGATTTTCAAATTGTTTATTTAAATCTAAACTGGGTCAGAAACTGTCCAAACTTTTCTAAAAGTCCAGTAAGGAGGAAGGACACTGGTTGTACACACGTACATTCAGTCATGACTGCGGTTCCCATATTGATACTGCCAATTTTCATATTACCTCCCTTTAAACAGCAATATTTTATGCCATTAACGTCACTGGTTTTGGCTTGAGCGGCACATGATTTTCCAGAATCACATGGAAGCGGTGCTGAAAAATGGAAAGTCGATTTATTATACTAGAACATGGAAATTAGATGGCCGAGAAACTTCGACCTATATCTATCATTAAACTTCTTACATCTTAAAAAGTAGATCTACAAAGAAAAGCATATAAATTCGTAAAGAACAGCTAATCCTGTAGCGAAGGACTATTACTCTTATACAGGAAATGGAATGGGGTTTAACGTCCTACATTTCTGTTCCGACCTGGCTAATGCTATAATTTTGTCCGGACAACGGCACTATGACCTACTCCTCTTTTCGAATTTACGTGAACGCGAACGTACGGGACCTCGGTTTTTCATACCACCCGAAAGACTAGACACTGTCCCGTGCCAGACCCCTGCGTCCTACACCACTGGCAAGAGGAAATCACCCTGGAAAATCCCGAGGAACTTCCTCACGTCACACCAGTATCGAACCCGAGGTTCCCTCTCATATACATAACAAAGGGGCATTATGTTAGCATAAAACGTAGACATGTCCATCAAATTGCAGATAAATTTTATAATTAAGTTTTATAGAGCAAAATCTTTGCATTTTAGCGATAAATAATTATATATAGCGATTTAAGTTCGGTAAGATAGACCTTGGGTTTTTGATTCTGGCCAAAATAATTTAATCTTAACCTGGTGCAAAATACTTATGACAGCAGTTTTACAATTGACAATAGAAAGGGGGACAAAGGTTAATGTACTCTCAACAAAAATTGGGTTATTTCGGGTCTATAATGGTACATCTTCATTTAAATAATTCACCTGCATGCAGGGGGCGAGGGCCGGGAGAAAGGCCACATGCATGAACCATACTGGGATCGAAACCAAGCTACTTAACTCGCATAACATCTAACTCCCACGCGTTATTTAGATCAGTCGGTTATTCAAGCGCACGACAATAAAATGACTTACGTGTATTTAGAAGAGTTGCTGTAGACAAAGTTAGGTAGGAAATCAGGAAAACTGTTATAACAATCAAACTCTTCATTTTTATGTCTGAAAAATATTCGAACAAGAAATTGTGTTTATATATTTAACACAGTAAATAAATTTCGGCATTTCTATAAAATCAGATTTAAGGTTTATTTCAGAATTCAGCTGAAAGACACCCGTGGGCAGAGCCGGATTAAAACCACTTCAAGAGACCCTAAGCACCGAAAAGATTATGATGTCCCGACACACACACACACATTTTTTTTCTCCAAAAAACCAAAACACACACATGCGTAAAATATATTATTGTCATTCGAAATAAAATAAAAATAACATGTATGCTTAAATTGAAATAACCCATTTCTAGATTTTCAGGATCGCAAAACTAGATCATTTCGATATCAGAGTAGGCAGGAGGGCAAAATTGCCCTCACAACACACTGCATGGTGCATCCACGTCTTCATTAGCTCAGTCGGCACAGGAAAGTGGGACCTTAAACTCCATGCCATTTGCAATTTCTAAAAAAATGAAATTAGTGTAATGGTAAAAATTGCAACTGGTAGCTTACCTTAGATTTTACCCGTTCTCTTCCACGATAAACGAAATCTTGATCCATCACCTTCAGACCCTTTCTATTGTCTCTTGTTTTATACAAAATATGTCATGACATCGCCTACGTCACGTTTCAGACTGTCAGAATAAAATGGATGGGACTTACTTACGTAGTCACGGTTATTATTAAATGCAACGTAGAATAAGATAAATATAGCCACCCGTCCAGTTTTTTTAATTCTTGTTTTATTGGTGTATCTGTATGATTATTATTTTTTGACGTTTGGCGTGTTAAACTGTCATGTCTTGGGCAGTTAAACACCTGCTTGTGAGTCAACGAATTAATATGTGACCTTACGATTTCAGTAAGTTTTGTCACCGGTTATAAATTGCCCAAAACTTAATGAAACCGCTGCGAAATAAATGTAGGGCACTTTTAATGGCATGGTCATAACCTGCAAGCAAAGTTTTTAAAGCAATTCAATTCTACTGGTTTCATAATTACATCAAAGCATAGTGTATAAAACAGTGGACTGTTGACAAAGTGGAACAACAATAGGGATGCATAAATTTCCAAATAATCCATGACACATCTAAGATTGATAAGAGTATGATTAGCAGAGCCGGTTGCAGGATACATTGCAGGATATGAATAACCTTAACTAGGCTTAAATAATATTTAAGGTCAACTATGCTTTACTTCATAATTAGTAATTGATAAAAACCTGAAAATAGCCACACCTCTCGGCTTAATGCTGCTAGATTGCCTGAAAAAAAAAAATTTAAGCTGGAGAAATTGGTCAAAAATGTGCCAAAAACCGACACAGCTAATTAGTGAGGCGTAGGATTTATGCCACAACGTTTACACAGCACGTCATGTAAAACGGACAGAAAAATGAGTCCATCGGGGGAAAACATATTCCTGAAGCAATGGCCGGAGAAATCCCTCTCTGGCCATTGCTGGATTGACTTCTGATACTTGAGCTTTTGAGGGAGTGTGTCTATTCTTCCCGTTCAATCAAATCTATTAGTATAGCAACATGACAGCCCTTCGTTTAATCTGGAGTCTTCCCTAAAACTTTGGACAGTGATTTAAGGTATTAAAAACGGTGAAAGCATTGTTCGTCTCCAGACAGTATTGTTTACATTGTATTCGTTTTGATAGCCGCGTTTGTCACGCAATTAATTTTTCTGCAATATTCTGCTATGCACTGGTTAATTGGACATAACAGAATCGTGAGTCATGACGTAACGTTATGTAAACATTTGGTCCAATTTGGGGCGTAATATTGTTACGCAGTTAGCTATTGGTTGTTAATCGGACTATTGGCCAGTCACAATTTGGAATAGAAATTTGCTTCCTTTTCAGCAGTGTAAAGTTGGATTAGGCATAATCAAATGAAACGCTGCGAGGAGTATAGGGGAAAAACATGTAGGGAAACTTTTCACTCGGACATCTGATCCCCATTACCCTGTTATGGTTATATTAATTCAACGAGACTTTCCTCAAAATGCAGAGGAATTTTCCTATGGATTCGCTACTGTTCTTCTGAACGCTTTTACAGTGAAAATTTTAAAAAATTTATGGGAAACAATTGGAATTTTGATAAACTTAAAGACGCTAAACCTCTAACTCAATATTTTCTATAAAATTTGAAATTAAAATTCAATACTGACTCATTCCAGTCAATATTGATGTTGTTATCTTGCCGTGAAAATATGGGATCCTAATATCAAATATTTAAGATACAGTATAATGAACGTTTTAAATATTCATTGTGCCTTAAATATTAGATATTAGGATATTTATCATATATATAACAACAACATCAATATTGAAAGAAATGAACAAACTCTTAATTCTAATTCGTGTTTTTAATTTTGAATATTATGGATACTATTTAGTTAGAGGTTTAATTCGGGGTATTATGGTTAGGTTAATACCAATTTTATGTAATTTTAGGATGGGGTATATTAAATATTTATAACGTTGCGTGATTTGCATTTGTCGGGAACAGGGCATAAGCAACTCGGCGAGAGTGGGGTGGGGGGTCTCTCCCCCGGGCTCGAAAATTTTTGAAAATTATACATGGTCTCTAGCGTCTGTTTCGGCGTATATCTGGGTAACTGGAGGTTAATTTGCTAAATCACAGAAACTAAGAGTTTACACAACAACACATCATGACATACCGATTTTCTTTTACTTTACGATCAAAACAGTGTATTTTTTTATGAATTTATACCAACAAGTGGCCCAGCTGCCACGCCGCCCGCATCCCCCGACCCAGCCCACCCTCAGGCATCACGAGCCCTGGTCGGAAAATATCAAATTTCTCACGGATCAACGCTAGGGTATAATATCATGACATCATCGGGCGATAAAAACACTTGTACCTGGCTTTTATTAGTCTTCCCTAGATCTCAAAGTGGCGAAAAGTTCAACTCAGAAGCAATGTAGAAAGGTGTCGTTGACAGAATGATTCTGTCAAGAGAAGGAATCGAGAAGAGAGAAAAATAGAATAAGTAAGGTGTACCATATAGCGGATAGCACTAATCAATGGAATTTCACTTCATCATATCTTTGTAAACGGAATTGCACCCTTTTTGGAATGATTTACAATTTCGTAGTGTGCAAGGACCTTCGATATTTTCAAGTTACGCTCAGTGTCTTGCAGATTGGAACTTGCATGATGTATTATCTCTGTGGCTACACTCAACAACCGCCATCTGACTTGACTACACCCAAGTTATGTGCACGCAAAGGTCATTAAGACATTGGACGTTATTATGATACGTGGCATGACAGAAGTTACCAGTGACAATGTGAAAACGTTTGTACCAGAAGAAGTAGCATCTTTAGCACGTTTGCGTTAAGTTGACCCGAGCTTTCATGTTGCCAATGAACAAAAGCTTTGGTGTAAGTCAGAATTATCTTAACCAATCAAAGTGGCTAACACAGAGAAAGAATATCAATCCTTCAGAGATATTTTGAAACTTGGTATAGCCTTGAGAGAGTGAGAGAGTTTCGGTATATCATATGGTTGATTTTATTGCAATAATTCGCTTGGGTTGGTTGGACAGGCGATCCTACTCCTTGTCACCTACAAGCTGGGAATCGAAACCATGCCGCTTGACTTACAATGTAATGACAGACCTTGTGATCTAATGCACGCAGTAAACCTGTCCCCCCCCCCGCCCCGCACGAGAATAGCATTGAACTATTGAACTACAAATGGAAGAACACTTACCAATTTATATGGGCGATTTTCAAATAGTATTCTTTCATTAAATGTTCTCCCATAAGTTAATAGTTTGTGTTATAAGTCAACCATAGTTAATACCGGAATGAAATACAGTTTAATTAGATTGTATAGGACTAAACCCATCGCCACTGGTTGAATACTTCCTTCGTTAAGGTTGTGATCACCTAAGGAAGTGGCACAAATGCATCCTGGAAGAGACATGGCTGACATACTGACAAGATGGATCACACACAGGGTGATTTCAATGTCTGACCACAACAAAATGTGGGCCAAAGTCGTTGATAAGGAGTCAAACCTGGGAAATACAAATCGTTTTGATCAAGATATGATGCCAGGCAACGAAACACCCACGTCAGATCAGTCACCCTTCATTCTAAAATTGTAATACATAATCAAGGCAATGACCCTGTAATCAAAATGATTCTTCATTTCACTAGATTGAATAATGCATATAAATTTCAATGTGACCAGATGTTCACAAGATTATACAAAGTAAAACAAGGGTAATAACATTAGAAGCATATACTTCATAGGCCTACAGATTGGATAACTTTTGTTGTTAGAGTGTTTACAAGATTTTACAAGGGTGATACCTTAATTAACCAATAACAGAGCAACCAGATTTCTTTATAGTTTTATATACTGAAAATTCATATTATCAGTCATACACAAAGATGGGAGTCAACCCAGCAATATTATTAATAAAATTGCTAAAAAAGGAAAGGTCATATTACATGTCCTCCCAGGCCATATCATAACATCACAATGACTACTACAATGCATTCATTTCTAGGAAGGATTTGATGGAAAAATACAAGCAAACATGGCATAACTGGTAGTTAGCTTGGTAGTTATACAACAGACATACTCCAATATTTGGCAAATGTTGTATACATCCTTAACATATGTACAGTATTTAACAAACAAAATAACATGATATATGATTGAACAGGCATGAAATAATAATAACTAATATTAATGAATTTCATGCATTATTGGTCATGTTTAAAATTAATGATGAAAAATAATCAAGCAAAACTTTGATTTCTTAATTAATTTTATAAATCAATACATAATGAATATAGTATTATTTTGAAAACTTTTCAGTATTTCTAGATGATATTTAATTTTTCAAAAACAGATAACACCACTTGCTGGACTAGAACAAAAGACAAAGACAAATTTCTTTGTTTGGTATGTATTCATTATGATTGACTAGTATTAGGCTTTACAGGTTAGCCAATTAATAAAATCAAAGTCATAAATAAGGTGTGTCTGATCAAAATCCTGACAGAACCTTGTTCTCAACATACAGACCACTCACTCAGTCATCCAACTCCTTGTAAAATGGTAAGAGAGTTGATGCTATCTTAATGAGTAAGACTTGTCAGGTTTATCCAAACCATTCTTTCCGATTTTGTATTCAGAAATTAACATGAATATATCTCTCTTTACACATTATACATTAAGGACTGTACCTTTTTTGTAGTGGTATGCTGTGGTGGAATTTACCCTCGAGAAATTATATGCTGTTGGTTAATTTTATATTAGTGATAAAAAGTGGGTCCTTATTGCTATTACAAGTTGTTGTTAAGGAAAATAATCCCTTCTTACTGACTCGAATAGGTCATATCAGTAAGTGCATTTAAAATAACAATCATTGTGGGAAATTCCACTGAATATTTGATTCCTCCTCTCTTTGTCTAGTCTATGAAAAAAGACAAAATCTGTTTAAATTAGTAATGTATCTTAAGATAAGTAGTATTTCTATAGACTATAGGTTACACTACTGACACACTGTAAATAGATGCATAATAAATATCAGCCTTGCAACTTTATTTTTATTTTTGTGGTGCTAAAAATGTCTTGGAATCTTGTTACTCGTCCTTTTACACACTGACTAATGGAAAAGTAGGCTACTTAAAGAAGCATTATGAAAAAGCTAAATCTGCCCTTTTATTCACTTGCCAAGCTCATAATCAATTCACTAGATCAAATGGCTGAGATATTAAGTGAATTAGAAAATGTTTGCTGTATCTTGGTTAATTTTCAAAATTGAAAATTGAGACTTTGTTTACTATCTTCTTTTAATGGCATTTAGTATTTGGGACATAATCAATTAAAACACTATTTATGGATAACAAGTACCCTAGTAATTGTTTTTCATAAATAGTGTCTTACTTGATTCATTTATTAACGTAGAAATGGTCCTTAAGACTATTTATGCTATTTCTTGTCAAACCTTCAAACATTTATAACTTTGATCATAATAAAGTAATTTTAGTGAATTTTTCCGTACATTTATTTGTGATTATTAATTTTTAAACTATTATGAATCTTGATAAAGGGTTTTTGCACCCGAAACGTCGACCCATTAAACAATCTTCTACTTCTACAAGTCTGTTGTGTATTCTGTTGAATGGGGATTCTTTAATTTTATTTTACTACTCTGCCCCGCCGGTATCATCTTTTGATCCAGTCTCCACGCAGATGTATCAGCCTGTCCAGCTTTAATTACTCTCTAAGGGAGTGTTGCCGTACCCTTTTCCTGTTTCCTATTATAGCATGTTTAAGCAGAAACAACTACATCTTGACATTTACTAGTTTAAAGGAGGGTCAAAGGTTATATCTAAAATCTAGATTAAGTTGACCTTGATAATATTATCAGGTAATATAACCTAGTCTTATGACGTGTATTAATCTTAATATCCAGTTTTAAAGGTGGGTAATAGTATGAAATAATACATTTTATCACATGTAAGTTAATACCTCAACGATGTAATATTTCGTGTGGTGACAGTTTTAGAAACAAAATAAAAAGTTATCTTGACCTTACAAATTCATAAATAAGATTTTTCTTTTAATGCTCAATTCTAAATTCTAATCTTACCAAATTACATGCTACCTGTAAATTCTGAACCTTAATTACACATGCTACGTGAAAATTTTGAACTTTTATAACACATGCTACCTGTTAATTTTCTAACATGCTACCTGTAAATGTTGAACTTTAATTATACATGCTATTTGTAAATGTTGAACTTTAATCATACATTCTACCTGTTACTTTTGAATTTTAATTTCACATGCTACATGTTATTTTTGAACTCTAATTCCACAAGCTCCCTGTACATTAAAGAAACAGTTAAATTTATTAATATAACTAATCTTAGAAATTAATTAAATAAATTTTAGTCTTCATGTACTAAAGCTGATAATAAATGACACTGAAAACAGTGAATATAAAACTATTCAATTCAATAATTCAAATAAAATTTTTTAATCATTTTAATAAACTTATGTACTTTTTAAAATCTAATTAGGGTATCCGTAGACTCAAGTTTATTATATCATCATTTTTATTTATAATGTCAAGTTATCTATTGTCACAAGACAACTGTAGAAAGAAAGCTTAGGTTACCGGTACAGAACAGTCCTATAACATTGATAACCTACTTTCACAGCCCCATGACACAGGTTCTTATCTTAATATCAATTTCCTTCATATGACACCACTGAGTGATTTTATCTATTCAAGGCCAGCTTAATGTACTTGCATACCTGTATTGTAATTCATTATAAATCATTACTAACATAAACATTTGATTTAAACTTTTAAATGAAAATCATTTTATAAGTCATAATTAAATTTCAAAATATGATTTGTTCTATGATAGAAGCATTATATTATGACAACATCTTATATAAACAAATATTTCATTAGAGTAGCCTATAATGATAAAAACTAATGAAAGATAATGATAATGATAAAGATAATGAAAGTAGATAAAGTAAAACAAAAGATAGCTAATTAAGACCAATTATGCCTCATCAGCCATTTTTCCATCAAATCTAAACTACATATTGTTTTAATACTATACATGTAAATTGCATTGTTTTCCTCAATATTCAATCATGTGATGTTATATTATTTCCTGGGTAGCCGCGTTACGAACTCGTCATAAATCTCAAATACTGGAGTGCGTTATGAGCAGCATTAGCATGGGCTTCATCTGTTGATGGACCTGTGCCTTGACAGACAGCAACAGGCATGGAGGACAGTTGAACCAAACATTGATGCTGATCTGAAAGTAAAAAAAAATGCAAATATTTTAAAAAGAATTTGTAGGTCTCTAAGAGTTGTCTTAAAGTAGCTAAGTCTCTAACTTAATATCATCCAAAATCTTCAACATTGAAAACACGATTTATTTGTCAAATTAAATCAACATTCATGTTGTGATCTTACCGGAAAAAGATGGGCTTTTGATATCCAATATTTAAGACAAAATAAACATTTTACCATTGGTACACGAATCGTGTACCATAATACGCTTCAGCCCCAGTTATATCAAGAGACTTGAGGAACGAGGCTAGACACATTGCACCAAATCAAACGGCGTATGTAGACTGGAATAACCAGACGCTAGAAATTTGCACTCGCTTGAGACTGCTGGCTTATTTCGCCGAACATAACTGATTTGAAATTGGAGTAAAAACGGAAACCATTGAATGTAAATCAGTTTATATATATTCATATTTACAGTATTATATACGTTGCGAACCACTTTTGTCAATTTCTAGGTCCAAAATGTTAGCGATTTAGCTCCTTTAACTTCTTGACAATCCCCAATGAATAAAGATATAACTCTGGAACAGTAAGTCCTAGAATACTGAAAAACTGAAAAGGTAACACCAGAATGGAAGGTTGCAGAACACTGAAACTTAATATTAAAAGAATTCCTCCTCACACTACCCCAATGCTTCAAGTCACATTGGAAGAAAATCTGTTAAAACCTGTAGCCTCCATTGCCTTAACAAGAAACAAAGGGTCTTTAATCACTGAAAATTTCATGACCATAATGCTTCAAACCAATTCATAAAAAAATCTTAAAAACTGTTGCCTCTAATGCCATAACAAGCCAACTGTTGTTGGACGAACGGATGCACGACAGCTGGGTTCAAGCCAAAAATTACAAAATTCCAATTTATAAGCATATCCAAGACTAGACGGTTTAATTATTAATAGATTTTTGATATTTTGTTTTGTGTCATTTCTAACTTGTTTCAGTCAACCTAATATGTAATATTCGGGCAATGGGAGAGATATGTGGCTCCTCGCTAAATTCAGTGACTGAATGACAATATTATGACAGGTGATACCAATTGCTCTTGTAGAGTTTTAGTAGTCACATTTCCACTTAGGTACCACTAAAGATATTAACTGTGGTGCACACATAGAATGCCAGATGTTTTGACAAAAATGGTTGTAAACATCAGTAATTTCATTATAAAATAAAATGTTCAAACATTCAACCCCTGTCTAGCATATACCCAGAACTGGTTTAATATTAATGTATGCCCTCACCCCCCCCCCTCCAAATTATTTTCTTACCCAATAAAAGCACATTGAAAAGGTTTAGGGAAGGTTGTTGTTGTCGTATTTAACTCTTTTATACGCCCACATTTTAAGTAGAAGTATATTGTCATCAGTCACTCCTGTATGTCTGTTCCTAATTCTTGTAAACACATTACAGTTTGCAAGATATTTTTTCAGACTTACAGGGACTGTTCCACTTGTCTAATGAGGAGCCCTAGTTATTCTTTGACTGAGCAGCATTTTTTGATGTCTGTGCTGCACTCCTTTATAAAATTACTAGAGGTTATGTTTTTTCATTGCCTGGCAACACTGTGTTTTAAACAATTTGAAAGGAAAGTCTTTCTGACAGCCGTACTAGTTTGAGAAGATCAATTGTGATTTTAATATAAAGTCAGTGACATGTATAATAGTGAACTTACTAGAGTTGCTAGGTTCTTTAATATCAAAGTAAGAGACTTCAAATCTCTGTACTTCTGCTATTTCTTGTAGCATCTGACAATAGTTGGTGTTTGGTACATTCAAAGAATTCTTATGCAAATCTTTCATGTGTGCACCACCACTCTTCATAATTTTTTGATAAAATTTTTGAATTTCTTTCGCTTTCTGTGGAGTAGTGACAGGAATTTTCTTCTTGCCTTCCTTTAGAGCAGCATATGCACTCTGTGGTTCAAAAGACTGAAAGTATAAATTAGAATGTACAATGTTATACCTCTCTCAATAATATATTCTTGGAATACTTTCAATATCTTAACCCTCTGAACCCGATGCTCTTGAAGGGTAAATGTTGAAGATTCTTGGGGTTAGAGGCAAAACATTTATTAATTAATCAATATTGAGTCTGTCAGATACACAAAATGTGTTATAATATGAATGTAGGAACATATGTGTAGGACTGTTGGTCACTGATCAATGCTTGTACTATTCACAACATTGGCTTCTATCTATATTAAATATAAATTCTTGTAGGAGTTTTCACAGATAACAAGTTTAAAGGGTTAAAGATCTGCAAACTCAATAGCTCATCTCACAAAAAAAAAATAATATTCAAAGACTTTTGAAAGCATACTATTACAAATAATTTCTTACTAATTGCAGATCATCTTCATCATCTGATTGTTCTATTTTAGTGTTTTCACTTCCATCTAACATCACCTTCTTTATCTGCTCTAGCATCTGTGCTGCAGCTGCCCTTTTAGCAGACTTCTTAGATCGTCCTACTCCTATTCATAAAATTAAAAAAAACCTTAGCATACTGACATTTGTACGGTTCAGCACTATGAATAAACACCATTGATTTATTTTGTCAATGTTCTTACGGCAGTACATTGCATATTCCCCATGGCCTGTGCATGATTGGCTGATCCTTCATGAATCATTGCGCATTGGCTATTCATGAATGGAGAGAGAGAAATGGGGTTTAACGTCCACTCAACACAAACTAGGTCATTTCGGGACCAACATATGGTTAAATTTTATTTACATAATTCGCTTGCACGTAGGGGTCTTTAGCAGTGGGAGGAAACTGGAGGACCCGGAGAAAACCCACGAGGTTGGACAGGCGACCCTACTCCTTGCCACGTACAACCAGGGATTCATTCATGAATGGAGAAAGTAGTGGTATACAAGCAAACACAAACTAGACTTTATTCATAAAGAAACATAACTGTATCGGCAAAACCGATTAAATGTTTACTTAATCTGAATGTATATAGAAACATTTCTTTTTATCGATGACAACTTTAGATACACTGCAACTTACCTATTTCCTGGAATTTACCGATTTTAACAGTACATTTAAATTCTCTAGAGTGAGGAGGACCCTGTTCACATGAGTATTCATAAATAGGCGGTTTGATTAGTTTCTTTTGGGTAAACTCTTGTAGTTCACCTATAGGATTGCCCAGACTGTCTTCATCAGCAGATGGTCCAACACTACTACTGAAACATCATAAGGACAATGTTATTTCAATTTCTGATTTATTCTATTTTATTATACTGAATGTTAACTCACAAAAGGATTAACGTTTACTCAATAAAAACTATGTCATGTCGGAACTAACATTCATGCGTGGTTCAATCTTATTTCAATAATTCGCTTGCACTTAGGGGTCTTTAGCTGTAGTAGGAAACAAGCAGGAAATCAAAAGTATGTCACTTGACTCGGTGACAGACCTTATGATGTTATATGCACACAATAAACCAATAGACCACACAACTTCCCTGGTGGAAAGAGTACAGGTTTATAGAAAAGATTCACCTGGTATCGTTATCTTCTGCTTTAATATTGTTATCAACTGGCATTACACCTAATATAGTATTCAAAGCGGCTTGAGCTGCAGTATGTTTAGCCTTCTTTTTACTTGTTCCTGAAAAAAATATTAATTTAAGTCTACATTTGTCATTTGTGAAGGCACAACATGTGGTTAAACCAAGAGGTACAAATCCTATGTATTAGGATGTAAGTATCAGATCTTGACTAAATGGGATACATATTATAAATAAATGAAATGAGGTTTAACATCCTACTGTTCTGCTCCGAACTGGGATAATGAAGACGGGCATACACCATACAGTGTGCTATGAGGGAAATTTTGCCCGGACAGCGGCATTACGGCCTACTCTTATATCAAATTCCAAATGTCAAGGGATCTTTTATCTGCACATCAATGTGTACACAAGTCCTCTGTTTTTCATCCCATTCGAACGACTAGACAGTTGTCCTTGTCAAGCCCCCCCCCCCCATCCTGCATCACTGACAAGGGAGAACCATGCCGGAAAATCTGGATGGACTTGCTCAGCCAATGCAGTGATCAAACACCCGACCTCCAGGCTAGCGAGCCAGTGTTTTATCCACTTAGCCACTTTGACCCCCTATATATTATAAACATATGTCTTAAGTTACATCACAATTGGATAACAATTGTGAACTTTAGAGTGTCCACAAGCTAAAAGCGTAATTTTTCGTACAATCAGGGGCCATATTCCTTAGTATTACATGGCTTTACTACACTTTTTGCATAAAAGGGTAAGGCCCTTTTTATGGGAAGTTAGAAAAAAAAACAACACATTTTTAGCCTGTGGATTTGTCAAAATCGGATATACGTCCACAGGAAAATGTGGGTGGGTAAAAACCATTTCAATAAATTCACCATTACACCATAAGGACTGTTGAGTTTGAATTTCGTAACACTTGTACCGAAACTGCCAGATAACTGCCGTTCCAAGTAAGCAAATAGTGTAAAAGTATGTAGACCCTCTAGTGGTCACAATTATTATCCGATTTTAATGAAACTTAAAATATACGTTTATATCTTAAAGATCTGGGTTCCTGTCGATACTTGTGCATATTGGGCAGTAACTCCCTAAATTAAGGCCCCTGATTGTCCGAAAATTTGTTTTGGCTTGAGCTTGTTCTCTGTCCATCTCTTGCAAAATGTGGGCGTATCTTGCATGGCAACAGCTTGTTGTACATTTTGAGGTTCCAAACAATAGTGCCACACACCGTCTAATTTTGTTTTTATGCATATAGGCTAAATTAAATAGAAGTTTACATTTTTTGCAATATATGAAATTCTCAACATAAATTTAACACAACAAATCTGGGAAATAATAAGTTCACAAGGTGGGCCTATTTGATTTCATATAACCCACAATCCAGTCCAATTTTTATAAAATGTTATAAAATAAAGATTGTCCAATAAAACCATACCCTTTCCTGTGGCTGTAATTTCTCCTACCACTACACTCATTAGAAACATAGGCTCATGTATGGCACCTTCATTTGCAACCAGATCATACTGTGGAGTTATTCCTCGTTTAGTACATATCTCTTGTAGAAAGCTGATAGGAGTTTTTCCAGCAGGTACAGCCATCTGATAAGAAGAAGAAAAAAAAATATAAATGACAAAGATGAGGATGATGACAATGGGGAAATGAAATGGGTTGAACACAGGACCTCGTTTTTTTTCATTGCTAGGTCCTACACGATCGAGTGGGAGGGGGAACCTCGCTGGAAAATTCAGGTGAACTTTCTCGGCCAACACCAACATGGATTGAAACACAGGACCTCCAGGTTAGTGAGCCAACATACGTTTTACTCACTAAGCCACAATGGTTCCTTGGATGGGGGAAAAGGTAGCCGGCAGCAAATGGGCCTACTCAGTTCTATTGAAATTATTGAATAAACACAACACTAAACATAGTTCAGCTCTTCTATTGAATCCTTGTCGAAACTGAGATCCGCCCTAGTCAATCTTACTGGGAAACTTTTCACTGCTAAACGGTCGCGTGTCAGTCCCAGTGAATGCCTGAACAATATAAATGAACACCTTAGTGAGAAAATAAGACCTTGCTTACCTCGATAGAACCAGTGTGAGCAACACAACACGCTGTTAAAAAATACGTCTCCGTCTTCTAACCGACTTGGCGGACTTCATTGAAAGTCGGTTAGATTGACTGGAGCGGATCTCAGTTTCGACAAGGATTTAATAGAAGAGTTCCTGAACCTACAGGCCGAGTGAAATGAGGCCTACGTTCAAAGTTGAAATTAAACAGTGAACATCATTATTATGATGTCATCTCAACAAATTTCTGCCAAGCAAGTACTGGCTTTTCAGCATTAGATTTTGAAACTTAAATGGATTTTCGTTTAACATGTCCTGTGAAATCTTGGATATTTGTCACAAATTTCTAGAATTTTATACACATAATTATTTGTTTCGTTTTGTTTTATTGTTTCATGATGTCGTAAGCGACATTAAAAAATGTTTTCACACTTCCAATCGCCGGTAAAGAATCGGTTTGTTAGTAAATTATCAGTTGTAAATTCTGTCTGACAGATTACCACACATAAGAACTGTAAGCCTTTCATTGATTCCTGAAATAAAAACCTATTCACATAAATTTATTAGTATCTCACCTTTGTTTAATTTTAGTATGGGATGAAAACTCTCTAACTCGTGTGTGAAGCAAGCTTTTATAGTGGGCTCCTTGTGTCCTAGACAATGTATTTCCCTTTTTTTTTTTAGTTTGTACCGGGTATATAATTTATTATCGATTTTCAGCAGTGTGGAGTATGGAAAATGCACGTATTCGTCATTGATTTTACTTTTCAATATTTTACCAAATTCAACTACCTTTAAATATGATACGGAAATCTTACTTTTACTTGCAACATAGTCTTGGGCGTTAAGTCTCTTATTAGACTTTTCATAAAAAAAAGATAGTACTCTGTCGCCTTGAGCCCCCATATAAAAGCACTACGTCATCCTTAAATGGAAATTGTCTGCGATATCACCTCGGTGGAAGCGGACGTAAAATACAACTAACTCATCATCATCTTAAATGGAAAGATAGCAAAATCATATTCTAAATATAAAGGAAGAAGCTTCGGCTCTCCTAATTCTTGTCCGCGATATCACTTTAGTGGAAGTAGATGTTAAAGCACCAAGGTACTACTAGTACTAGTATTTTAGTACCGACATGGACTACTTATCTTGAAGAATTACATTAGTTCTTTGGAAGACAATTACTGAATTTTAATCGGGGCTAGTTTCGGCAATGATTATTTTTTCGTTAGCACAATACAGATAGTCAGAGAGAACAAATCTGTTTTATAATATAACATTAGAAACATCAGTTAATAATCCCACATAACTTGGACAAATATTGTTAAGTATTATATATATGAAAATAAGTGTGTTTAACTTATGTCTTGACTCTATTTTCAGCAGGTTGCATTTCCGGAGGGAGAGAGAGAGAGAGAGAGAGAGAGAGAGAGAGAGAGAGAGTTTAACGTCCTCTCGACACAAACCAGGTCATTTCGGGACTAACATATAGTTCAATTTTATTTCAATAATTCGCTTGTGCGCATATGTGTTTGTAGCAGTAGGAGGAAACCGAATCACCCGAAGAAAACCAATGGGGCTGGAGAAGCGACCCTACTCCTTGTCACGTACAACTGGGGAATCGAAACCACGCCAGTTGACTCAATGACAGACTTTATGATACAACGCGCATACGCTACCCCCCCCCCTTTATTTCCTTAGAAAAGGGGGCGAGTCATTTAGATTTTTATTAATACATTTAAAACACAATTAGTATCTGACTGTAATTTAGATTGAAGTTAGGATAAACTTGCAGTCGAAGTATAAACCGTATATATAGTGTCGTCTGCAAATAGATCACAATTAAAAGACAAATTTAAAGGCAGGTCATTAATGAAGATATTAAAAAGTAAGATACCAAGAATAGATCCTTGTGAAAACCCATGTAAGACTGGATGAAATGAAGATGTGCATCCATTAACAGATGAACACTGATTTCTGTCAAAAAGATATGATAGTGCAAATTTCGATAACTGGTATAAAGCACATATTTGTAATAATAAGTTAAGATTCACTAATTAAGCCAAGGGCTTTTCTGAAGTCAAAATGATTAACCCACTTATTTATGTTTGTTTAATAATTATATTAGACATTTAGACGCATATTTTTCAAGTCGTTTTGATAATATAGGTAAAATAGATGTTGGGCGAAAAATTATTAGGATCAGTTTTACAACCAGACTTATGTAAAGGCAGAACTTTAGCTGACTTAAATAAATTTAGAAATACACATATAGTTATGCATAAATTATAGATATCGTTAAACTTGGAGCAATTATTCCAGATCCAAAAGCTTTCACAAATGGATTAACAATTAGGATCTAAACCTACAAATTTAGTTATATCAAGTGTATATACCCTATGAAATTTTAACACTTGTATAACAGCTATAGGAGTAATTTCAAAAACCTCTTGCGACGGGTTTTCTCGGGGTTCCCTGGTTTTGTCCGACTGCTAAAGACCCCTACACCCAAGCGAACACTGAAATAAAATTTACCATATTACAATGTCAGTCCTATAATGATCTAGTTTGTGTCGAGTGGACGTTAAACCCCACCTCTCTTCCCTCGCTGTAAGCGATTTTAAATAAGGTAATAACTGTTCAAAGGGTACACCCAACCTCTATTAATCGGGGATCCACGGTAGATCAGTGAGTAAAGGTTGAATTGACATGGAGGTTTGAAAATTGTAACATTTACCTTGAGGTCGCGTATTTAATTGTGTGCCTGTGTAGAAGCTATGTCTAGTGACTGTTCCTGTCCATTCAGGAATTCTTGGATTTGATCTACCGAAGGGTATAGATTACGAAATCGGGAGATTTGTTTAGGTGGGAATAATAGGTACGCTGCCAATTGCGGTTTGGATCTGTATTTGAGTTTTTAGAATTTTACAGAATATTTTTGATTTATTAAATTTACTGTAAGTTTAAGGAAATAATCTTGTTTCTGTTTGTTTTCTTTCATTAATATCAGGCAGGAAAACGTTGCACAAGGAAGGGCGCAAGATAAATGGACCGAATTCCTAAATTTTTAGCTCCTGTAGAAATGGCCCGAGGAAACCCCACTCCCACCCCTAATCAAGCGAGGAGTATACATACAGTATTATGTTTTTACGGGTTTTGTCATGCCCTTATCCAGCAGATAGACTTAAAAATTATCTTGCATTTTAAAATGTCCGCAGGTTTATCTTGTAGATTTTGTTTTGCGTGTAGTGTAGTCCACCTGCACTTACTATTAAGGCTGTTTTTGTGATAGAGTCTGGGTATACAAGTCTTCGTCACGTGATTATTTATCATGTGACAATTTGTAGGTGGTTTTTCACAGAAAGTAAAAGCTGTATTTTGAGGAAGTAAGTCTTATGAGCATGTGTAGTGCGATGGTAGGTAGACAGTATTCATTTGAAACTTAATAGTTTATTAATTATATTAGTTGATTCGTGGAGAATGACAAATGTTATAAACGAGTCAATATTGATTTTTTTTTATTCATAACGTTTTTATCGGCCACAGATTAGACAAAGTGATTTGCATTCAATCAAATTTTCATCTTTAACTCTATTTCAAACCATAAATCAACAAATTTATCGACACCGATTTCCGAAGCGATTACCCCAAATCGCCAAATCACCTCCAGGTGTTGTTTGATTGGGTGATCACATGTTTTTTCAACTATCATTCTATCTATGTCAATGCAGTCACAAGAATTGTTTACAGCTAATTATCGGCACATTTAACGAACTGGGCAAAGTACTTTGAAATTGACTATACTGTCATATGACATCTCCACTAAATTCAAATCGATTTGGCAAGTCAATAAAAACGGCTATACTATACCGGTTTATATCTTGCATCAGATTGTTTGTTAGACAATGAGTGACTAATTAATATTGTACAGCTTTGTGTGAAGTTTCTTAGGATGACATTAATTGTCATTGTAATATTTGCTGGATTGCTGTAAATGTCATTGTGAATTAAAGTGACTTGTCATTTGATTGTTGTTATTGTCTGTTCAAAATAGTTGGGTTTTCCTTTATAATATTACGGTATAAGATAATCTGTGGTGACTAAGCAATGATACTATAAATGGGTATGCAAATGATAAAACTTGAGAAATAAATTAATGCAAAGACACTACCGGTATCTTTGAAAGTCATAGTAAAACAAGGAAATAAGTCAATATAGTGTCCTTTTTTTTGCTGTAGGATTACAGTATACTGCAGTGACATTTTGAGTCAGTATTAATAGTCACATGCAAATTTGTTTGATTGTCACATGCTACTGTGGATGTGGAACTGTATTGATTAACAAACAAAATATTGTACTTATATAATGAATTACAATGTATGTATTAAAACATAAAATCAGATATTCCATAATGCAATATGACTTCCTACAATATTCAACTTTTCATTTTTGTTTCTTTTCCTCATGCACTTATATATTTATTGTCATTGATCTTTTTTATGTAAATGTGTATGGGATTTATCTTATTAGTATATGTAGGCTAATTGATATCATTTGTTTTGTTAGGAAAAATATATTATTACTGATCGTTATTTGTGTGCATTGTTTGCCTTCCTCAATTGATGTTTCAGTATAATAAAAATCTTATCTTGTAGAGAGATATTAAGCCACAAAATCTGTGGCATAGAAGAAAGCCTTTATCCCACTAACTCACTTCTATGAATGTAAATTTGGAATACATTATAGTTAAAGTTAGTTATCCAGGGAGAACAACAAAAAAAAACAAAACATAACATTGAAAAAACATTTCATAACTCAGAAATGAAGATTTCAGGTTCATGATTATTTAGACATCTGAATTACCATACCCATTTGTATCACCTTTTGTTTCTTCTCTTTTTGTGTAGATGTGGAAAAGTATATATTTGGTTGCGGTTAGTTTAACTGTGGTATCATGTGGTACCTTGTATTTTAAATCTCAAGAGACAATAGAAAGGGCATTATTAAACAATCAAGATGATAAGAAAATAGCAGCTAAACCTGTTACTATAGAAGATGTTGTCTGTCCTGGTGGAACATCTCAATGTCCAGATAGTACAACATGTTGTATGCAGGCCAGTGGTCAATATGGATGTTGTCCACTTCCTAGTGTATGTATATTTTTCAACTTTTTACTTTTTAAAATAAGCAATTTTAGTTCTTGAAGATAAAATATTTCGACTATAAATCAGTGTTCTTTATTGTGGATGATGGGTTTAGACTTTAATCACAATCCAAACACATTGGAATAAGATTCCAATCATGATACATAAAAAATGGGGTTTAACGTCCTACATATACTTTTCTGCACTGACTGGGATACTAAAAATGGCCAAATGCAATATACAGTGTACTATGATAAGGGAAATTTTGACCAAATGGTGACACTTAACACCATTTTGGTTAGATTTAGGTTAGCGTCCGATATGATCATGGTTACGTTAATTTTATGACGTAAATCCAATGTTAATATTATGACTTAAATCTAACATTAATTTTATGATGTAAATCTAACCTTAATTTTATGACAGTTTTCTAGCCAATTTTTTTTGCTTTGACTTGGATTAAATAACCATACCCGCAGCACTCAGCCTTCTCGTATTTGTGGTTGTTTCACAGGTAATAACAAGTATGATAGTACATGTACTATATAGACCAGGAACCGAGCATGACGTCGTCACTGGGATTGTGACATCATATCAAAAATCAATCAATCAGCAGTGGTCCAAGGATCAAGTATGCCATGCTTCATGTCAATCGTACTTGAATTGGCAGAGACTTAGGCTTATTTCATAGAGTTTCATCCTCAATAACAAGAACAACAAGATGTGTAGAGCTTGGGGTCCAGTTCCTGGTTCAGAAATAAGATCACTCTTCATAAATGTCCTGAACCCTCAGGAAAGACCAACTGCTTTGTATAGATTGTGAACATCTTTCAAGAGTTGACGTTAAATTTACCGGTATTAGGTTTAGTTGAAAATATATAGACAATAGAAAAATATTTTACAATGTTTTAAATGGTTTTCCAGGCTGTATGTTGTTCAGATAAGGTACATTGCTGTCCAAGTGGCACAACTTGCGATGTTTCTGCTGGCAAGTGTCTTAAACAAGATGGAAGTCAAGTTTTCATGTCTAAGAAAATTGAAGCTAAACCTGTTGCAGTGAAAGATGTTGTCTGTCCTGGTGGAACATCTCAATGTCCAGATAGTACAACATGTTGTAAACTGTCTTCTGGTCAATATGGATGCTGTCCACTTCCCAGTGTAAGTATTTTCGTTATTATAGTATTTTTGCGCCATTTGCATTTTTCAGAAAATATCAAACTTTGAACAAAATTAATCCACACTGAAATGTACTCAAATTGATTAGTTAATATTTAATTAAGAAAACATCAATGGTAGATAATCTGTTGACTTGGGTTTCAGTGACACGCATAGGCACTGATCTTAAATGGAAGTTTGTTGTCACATTTAGCCGCTTGATGTTCAAACTGATTATTTTACATTAATTAATATTATGAGGCATTTTTTGACGTATATCGGCACAACTCTTGTCTCTATAAAAGATTGCTGCGCTGGAGTTAAAAACATTTGCGTAAATTGTGACCAGCCGCATCTAAATGAGTCGGAATGCAGGAGAATCAATAATGAGATAAAGACAAAATAAGTGAAAATATTGCTTTTGAACAAAATTAAGATTTTCACAAAAATGAGTCTATAAATATACCATCTATCGACACAGAGATCAAAATAGCAATAAAACATTTTAAAACACCTGTATTTGAACGTTTTGTAAGAGTGCCGTATTCTTAAATCTGTCCTATTTCTCAAAATTCTCGGCGAAATTAGTTTAGCTCGCAGTGGGACGACCGGTCATTCACCTTGCATAACAATTGGCATTGTTGTAAAGCGGAGCATCTCTAGTTTATAATATGATCAAAATATTGTCGATGAATTGATTTTGAACGGATACAATCGAGTTTTACACCCCCCCCCCCCCAAAAAAAAAATATAAATAAACTCCGCCTGTTGCCATGCTGTCCACACAACTTCATTGCTGATTGGCCCGGACACAGCGTGCAAGACATTATCGATAAATTATTGCTTTTGGCAATGTTTTTGGGTACCTACATGCAATTCACTCTGATAAGTGGCAGAAAAAAAAAATAATTCTGATCGTATAGATTGCCGTTGAGTGTCAATCGAAACCACGTGGCTGATGATGTAAATTAATCGACAAGCGGGTGTGTGTCATTGAGTAATACTATTACTAATCAACTGTCACGGGTCAATGATAAAGCCGTTGACAACTCATTATTTACTCCGAATAATTAATCCAAGTGGTGATTGTTTGATATCTCATATCATCTTTAAAAAAAATAATCTATAGGCCTTAAATGAAATAAACAAAATGGCCAATAATGTTCTTTTCGAAGAGAATTTTATTGTTAGCTGAATTCCATTTAACGTCGCTTCTTCATACGGCATGCAAAATAAGGAATGCATTTGGGATATTATTGTTTAAAATTCTGTTATCACAATGGGTCGAAAAAAATGAGAATGAACTGAAATGCGACGATTCTCGAGTCTGCCATTGAGTATCCTCTGAATAATGTTGATATTTACATCAAAACCAAAATGCACGAAAGTGAACGTAAGCATTGACTATGAAATTGACATTTCTATAGGGACTCATATTTTGATAATGTCACGGTACCTGAAAATAGTAATAGACCTATCGTACACGCAAAATCTTATTTTAATTCACGTGTTAAATGAACATGCGTACAGCGGTTGCGGCTTCTTTGATGATTATCCAATCAACAATCTTAATCTCCTGACCACTAGCTGGCATTAAGGTGCTAATTAATTGATGAGATTAACTGAGTTAATCTCAACTAAAGTTATATTATACACAACAGACTACTAATGTATAGATTGTTTTTCAGTATAACACTATCATGTGAATATTATGCCGTATGTGTTGTGGATGTTTCGTTACGAAAGGAGTGCATTTATTACGATTTTCGTCATCAGCACCAGCGAAATCCTAAATAAAATACATATTAAACGACAAAATATAGCAAATAAATTGCGGAAATAGATGGATCAAAATTTTACTACGATTTTCGTCTTCAGCACCCCTGAAAACCCATGGAAAGATATATTCAACGACAAAACAGCAGATAAATGGCCTTGTTGCTATGGGATTTTGTTTTGGAACATACCAAATCTTTGACTTGCTTTTTCTCAAAACTTACTTTTGTGAGTTGGGTAGCTTCTAATGGACACAGCTCAGTCAATTTTTGCCCAATTCAAACAAACTGTACATCAAATTGAAGGTAATGAGTTTGAGAATGTGAAAATAACAATAACTCAATTTTCAAAATTTCCTCATTGTGACTCAGTATGCTGTGGGGGGTCACAATTATTAATTTCTGTCCATGTCCAGACTTTTTTCCTTATGCAAATGAGCTTCGTCGTAGATCCCAAATAAGGTATATGTTGTAATATACAGTTCTATTCTGCATTTTTCTATAATGCAAGATGTAGAATTGAGAAGTGTACCGGTAATATGCAAATAACTATTATACTGTATTTGTATTATTGAAAAGTGTATTCTGTATTTTAACACTGTGACATTGGTATTGTGGAACAATGGAATTTGGAAACTGGGAAACTAATATAAGTATTTTGAACTGCTGTCATAATATGCAGTTTGCATTGTGAACATTAAAATAATTTTGGCAGTGTTATTCTTCCATAATGATCACTTTGATTTCTCAGTGTAGATATTGTTCATTCAGATGGGATTACGTTACGTCTCTTAACATGAAGATACATGATCAGAGGGATGGAATGAGTTGAATGGCAAATTTAGTATTTTTATACGCCAACATTTTCATGTGGACGTATATTGTCGTCGCCCCGTCCGTCCGTCCACAATTGTTTGTGAACAGTCTACAGGTCACAATTTTTATCCGATTTCAATGAAACTTGAAATATAGGTTTATCACCCTAAGATCTCGGTTCCTTTCGATATTGGCATGTATCGGACTGTAACTTCATGGATTATTGCCCCTGATTATACGAAAAATCACGTTTTTAGCTTGTGAACACTGAAGAGGCCACAATTTTTATCCGATTTGGTTCAAACTTGAAATGTATGCTTATAACCAAAAGATCTCGGTTCCTTTCGATATTCGCGCATATCGGAACGTAACTTCCTGAATTATGGCCCCTGATTGTACGAAAAATCACGTTTTTAGCTTGTGGACCCTATAGAGGTCATAATTTTTATCCGATTTAAAAAACCGTATTATTATATCACTGTTACACCCTAAGGACGCCTGAGTTTGGATTTCGTGAAAATCAACCCAAAACTGACAGACCAAATGGCCGCCCTTAGTTCTCAAATAGCGTAAAAATATGGTATATCAAGGTTGTGGACCCTATAGAGGTCACAATTTTGATCCGATTTTGTTGAAACTTGAAATGTATGTTTATAACCCAAAGATCTTGGTTCCTTTTGATATTCACGTATATTGGACCGTAACTTCCTAAATTATGGCTCCTGATTGTACGAAAAATCGCGTTTTTAGCTTGTGGACCCTATAGAGGTCATAATTTTTATCCGATTTAAAAAATCGTATTATTATATCACCGTTACACCTTAAGGACGGCTGAGTTCGAATTTTGTGAAAATGGGCCCAAAACTGACAGACAAAATGGCCGCCCTTCGTTCTCAAATAGCGTAAAAATATGGTATATCAAGGTTGTGGACCCTATAGAGGTCATAATTTTTATCCCATTTTGTTGAAACTTGAAATGTATGTTTATAACCCAAAGATCTTGGTTCCTGTCGATATTCGCGCATATCGGACCGTAACTTCCAGAATTATGGCCCCTGATTAAACAAAAAATCGCTTTTTAAGCTTGTGGACCCTGTAGAGGTCATAATTTTTATCCGATTTAAAAAAAAGTTTTTTTATATTACCGTTACACCCTAAGGACGGCTAATTTCGAATTTCATGAAAATCAACCCAAAACTGACAGACGATATGGCCGCCCTTCGTTCTCAAATAGCGTAAAAATATGGTATATCAAGGTTGTGGACCCTATAGAGGTCACAATTTTTATCCGATTTTGTTGAAACTTGAAATGTAAGTTTATAACCCAAAGATCTCGGTTCCTTTCGATATTTGCGCATATCGAATTGTAATTTTCTGAATTATGGCCCTTGACTGTAGGAAAAATCACTTCCTTTTTAGCTTGTTCTCTATCCATCTCTCGAAAATGTGGGCGTATCCTGCCTGGCAGCCACTGGTTTTAGCTAAAAATAATATAAACTTTTATCTTATATGAAAAGCAATAAAGAAATATATTTTAATTCACTTTGACTTTCCAGGCTGTATGTTGTTCTGATGGGGTACATTGCTGTCCAAGTGGTACAACCTGTGATACTGCTGCTGGCAAGTGTAATAAACAAGATGGCAGTTATGTTTTTATGTCTAAGAAAATAACAGCTAAACCTGTTGCAGTGAAAGATGTTGTCTGTCCTGGTGGAACATCTAAATGTCCAGATAGTACAACATGTTGTATGCAGGCCAGTGGTCAATATGGATGTTGTCCTCTTCCTAGTGTATGTATATTTTTCAACTTTTTTCAAAATAAGCAATTTTAGTTCTTGAAGAAAAAATGGTTCAACTGTAAATCACTGTTCTTAGTGGATGCTGGGTTTAGACTTTAATCAGAATACCATATGCATTGGATTACGATTCCAATCATGAAACAAAATAAAATGGGATTTAACATCCTTTACAGCACTGACTGGACTACTAAACACGGGCATACATAATACAGTATGCAATGAGGGAAATTTTGCTCGAACATCATCACTACCCAGTTAACATTCATCGTTCGTTTAACGTTAACATTATGTCATTTTGGTTAGATTTACATTAGCTTTCGATAATGGTAAAAACTTGTTATGGTTACTTTTACATTAGAAAATGACATAAATCAGATGGTTTTCTATCCAATTTTTTTCGCTTTCAATACTTGTGATTTAAATCATCCCACGACTACAGGTTGTCCCTTGCCAGGCCCTCCATCCTACACCTCTGACATGGGGAACCATGCTGGAATATCCTGATGAACTTTCTGTCAACAAGGAGATCGAACGCGGAACCTCCAATTTAGCAAGCCAACCTCTTACTCAACGGGCCACCGCGACTCCACTTGTGATATATATTGTGGTTGTATTATAGACCAGGAACCGAGCATGATGTTGTCACTGCCATGTTGAAATTGTGACATCAGATCAAAAATCAAAGTTTGTCAATTAGTTGGCAGTTGTCCAAAGATCAAGCATGCCATGTTTCATGTCGTTTGTTCTTGAATTGGCAGAGACTTAGACTTATTTCGTACAGTTTCACCCTCAATAACAAGAAACAACAAGATGTGTAGAGCTTGGAATGCAGTTCCTGGACCACAAATAAGATCACTATTCATCAATATCCTGAACCCTCGGGAAAGACCAACTGCTTTGTACAGATTGTGAATATCTTTTAAAAGTTGGCGTTAAATTTACCGGTAGTAGGTTTAGCTAAAAATATTTAGACAATAGAAAAATATTTTATAATCTTTAAATATTTTTCCAGGCTGTATGTTGTTCAGATAAGGTACATTGCTGTCCAAGTGGCACAACCTGTGATGTTTCTGCTGGCAAGTGTCTTAAACAAGATGGAAGTCAAGTTTTCATGTCTAAGAAAATTGAAGCTAAACCTGTTGCAGTGAAAGATGTTGTTTGTCCTGGTGGAACATCTCAATGTCCAGATAGTACAACATGTTGTAAACTGTCTTCTGGTCAATATGGATGCTGTCCACTTCCCAGTGTAAGTATTTTCGTTATAATATTTTTGCGCCATTTGCATTTTTCAGAAAATATCAAACTTTGAACAAAATTAATCCACACTAAAAGGTACTCAAATTGATTATTTAACATTTAAAGGCTCAATACCACTCTTGTTGTAACTGAATAATATGTCACAATCTTTATTCTGGTCAACAAATTGTACTATTTTAGAATATTTCAATTAATTGATGATACAAATTTCATCTTAACACACCTTATTTAAAAATTTTGAAAAATTCATCATAATGGTTTGAAACGTCTAACGTAAACCTTTTCAAATGAAACTTCGATTTAAAAATATTTTCGAACCCTCTGGACAAGTAAAATAGGATGTAATGGATAATTTACATAACAAGTAGGACACTTAAACATCTAGTACTTAGATAGAGATATTATTTATTTTCTGGAGCTTTCAAGCCAGCAAGAGTGTTATTGTCCCTTTAATTAAGAAAACATCAAATGTAGATAATCTGTTAACTTGGATTAAAAAGAGGTCTAACAAGAGATTTCAGTGACACGCATACGTTGCCCTGGCTTGTGATATATATCTTCTGCAGTGGATGACAAATGTTGACAGACTTTCAATTCATCATATCTGTTTCAATTTTGAACAGAAATGATCCGTTTTTGGACTGTTATTCCTTTTAGAGATTCAAGGTTCACAATATTTTAGTTTGCAAGGGATTACCAACCCCTAAAATGACAATCAAAGTGTACAATCATCCATTTATAAGAATTTTATCTGTATGTGTTGAATGACTTTCCTTCCCCTCTTTCAAAAGTCATTGTTATTTAATTAGCAAATCAGAGTTTTAAATGAGGAGTTTGAGAAAAACAAAGTAGATTCCTCTCGTATTCTGTTGAGAGGTACATGTTTCTACATAGGAAATGCTCCCTTTCTCTTTTTTCTTTTTGATTTTGCTTAGATCTGATGAGAGTAAACCAGTCTCTCTATTTCTTAACTCTCATTTTTCCTATCTAAAAAAACATTACACAATGGCTATGAATACTTTGACTTCGTGGTGTAGATATTGTTCATTCAGATGGGGCTATGTTACATCTCTTAACATGAAGATACTTGTATCAGAGGGTTGGAATGAGTTGAATAGCAAATTTAGTATTTTTTAGCTAAATATAATCATACATGAAAGGCAATAAAGAAATATATTTTAATTCACTTTGACTTTCCAGGCTGTATGTTGTTCTGATGGGGTACATTGCTGTCCAAGTGGCACAACTTGTGATACTGCTGCTGGCAAGTGTAATAAACAAGATGGCAGTTATGTTTTTATGTCTAAGAAAATAGCAGCTAAACCTGTTGCAGTGAAAGATGTTGTCTGTCCTGGTGGAACATCTCAATGTCCAGATAGTACAACATGTTGTATGCAAGCCAGTGGTCAATATGGATGTTGTCCTCTTCCTAGTGTATGTATATTTTTCAACTTTTTTCAAAATAAACAATATTAATTTTAGTTCTTGAAGATAAAATGTTTCAACTATAGATTAATGTTCTTTATTGTGGATGCTGGGTTAAGACTTTAATCACAATCCATACACATGGAATACAAAATAAAATGGGATTTAACATCCTTTACTGGACATACATAATGCAGTGTGCATTGAGGGAAATTTTGCTTGAACATCATCACTTCCCAGTTAACATTTATGGTTTGTTTTACGTATGTTATTTTGGTTAGATTTGGTTAGTGTTCGATAATGGTAAAAATTTACTGCTAAATTAATGTTATTTTACGCCAGAATTGTTATGGTTACTTTTACATTAGAAAATGATGTAAATCTAAAGGTTTTCTAACCAATTTTTTAGCTTTCAATACTTGTGATTTAAATCGTCCCATCCTGAGGACTATAGGTTGTCCCTTGCCAGGCTCTCCATCCTACATCATTGACAAGATGGACCATGCTGGAATATCCTGATGAACTTTCTCAGCCAAAAAGTTGATCGAACACGGGACATGCAGGTTAGCGAGCTGATGTCTTACTCACTGGGGCACCGCGGTTCCACTTGTAATACATATTATGGTTGTATCACATGTAATACCAAGTATGGTAGTACATGTACCATATGGACCAGGAACCAAATATGCTGTGTTTCATGTCAATCGTATTTGAATTGGCAGAGACTTAGACTTATTTTGTAGAGTTTCACCCTCAATAACAAGAACAACAAGATGTGTAGAGCTTGGGGTCCAGTTCCTGGTCCACAAATAAGATCACTATTCATCAATATCCTGAACCCTCGGGAAAGACCAACTGCTTTGTACAGATTGTGAACATCTTTCAAGAGTTGACGTTAAATTTACTTGTAGTAGGTTTAGCTGAAAATATTTAGACAATAGAAAAATATTTTATAATGTTTTAAATGGTTTTCCAGGCTGTATGTTGTTCAGATCAGGTACATTGCTGTCCAAGTGGTACAACTTGTGATGTTTCTGCTGGCAAGTGTCTTAAACAAGATGGAAGTCAAGTTTTCATGTCTAAGAAAATAGCAGCTAAACCTGTTGCAGTGAAAGATGTTGTCTGTCCTGGTGGAACATCTCAATGTCCAGATAGTACAACATGTTGTAAACTGTCTTCTGGTCAATATGGATGCTGTCCACTTCCCAGTGTAAGTATTTTCATTATTAAATAATTTTGCACCAAATGTACTCAAATTGATTATTTAACATTTAATTAAGAAGACATCAAAGGTAGATAATCTGTTGACTTTGGTTCAATTGGATTAAAAAGAGATCTATCAAAAGGTTTCAGTGACACGCATACGTGGCCCTGGCTTGTGATATATATCTTCTGCTGTGGATGACGAATGTTGACAGATTTTCAGTTTTGAACAGAAATCAACCGTTTTAGGCCTGTTATTCCTTGTACAGATTCATCGTTCACAATATTTTAGTTTGCAAGGGATTAACAATCCCTAAAATGACAAAATCAAAGTGTATCTCTCAAATGATATTTACAATCATCCATTTGTTAAAACTTGCTGTGTTTCCAAAGTTTCTCTGTATGTGTGGAATGACTTTCCTTCCTCTCTTTCAAAAGTGATTGTTATTTAATTAGCCATATTAGAATTTTAAATGAGATTCCTCTCGTATTCTGATGAAAGGTTCACCCTGCTAACCAATTTTCGACAGTTATTTTGTTCGATCGTAGGAGGGCAAATTTAGTATTTTTTAGGTATAAATAATATATACTTTTAACATCATTCATGAATAGCAACAGAGAAATATTTTTATATGTCCACATTTCGGAAAAATCAAAAAAGAAAAGCCCAACAAAATGGCTGCTCCTTGTATGCAAATTGTGTATATGTATGTAATACCAAGGTTGTGGACCCTCTGAAACTTAAAATGTATGTTTATAAAACAAAGATCTCAGTTTCTTTCGATATTGGCACATATCAAGCCTTAACTTCCAGGATTATGGCCCTTGATGGAGTGAATAATCGCGTTTATAGCGTGTGGTGCCTCAAAGAAGTCACAATTTTTATCCGATTTAAAAAAAAACCAACTTTCGAATATATCTCGGTTTCTCTAGAGGTCACGATTTTTGTACATTTAAATTATATTACCGTAGAACCATAATGAAGGTTGAGTCCAAATTTCGGGATAATTGAAACTAAACTGCCCAACGAAGTGGAAATGGTCGCTCCTTGTATGCAAATTATGTAAAAGTTTGTAATACCAAGGTTGTGGACCCTCTAGAAGTCACAATTTTTTGTCCTGATTTTTGTCCTGATTTTGATGAAACTTAAAATATCTTTATATCCCAAAGATAAGAGTCCCTTTTAGATATATTTGCGCATTATGGCCCCTGATTTTATGAAAAATCGCGATGTTTTTTTTAGCAGCTTCTTCTCGATCCATCTCTTGCAAAATGTTGGTGTATCCTGCATGGCAACCGCTTGTTTGATTTTGAATAATTTTAATGTATATCACCGTTACACCCTCAACTTCCCATCAAAATGGCCACTCCCCGTTTGCAAATAGTGTAAAAGCAAGTAATAAAATTTTTTTTTTTTATTCGTACACTAAGTACAATAAATATAAAAATATAAATAAATACATATAAATATATACAAGTTCTCAATTAATACAGAGTTGATTAATTATTTCATTTAAGTTTATATATTCAGATGGTGAACAATCTCTTAAATCTATTTATTCTCGTATAGCATTTCCTATTCTCTTATCATTTTCCTTCCAGGAACTTTTATCGTAACATTCTATTTTATCTACAATATTTAACAATGACTTACGTTCTAAATTGTATTTTGTTATATTATAATGATATGATAAGTAATTGATATTATTGCACATAGTAGACTGACTTCCCAACAACGCAGTACGTCCACATATATGAAGACATAAATTACTACTATGTATAATACAATGACAAAACCTAATAAAACGTTTATGAAGTTGAGTTTCAATTGACAAATCCTGACATATAATAATATTCAATAAACTATTGTGGGTTCTTGGGGAAATGTTGAATACTTTCCTAACCTGTTTTCTCCAGGCTACATAAAAACTCTCTAATGACTTTTGTGAGAAATCCATAGTTGGCTCCCATACAGGGGCATACAATAAGTTTTGAATAATTTATATTTAACTTTAGATGAGGAGAATGTAAAATTTCTTAATGTTACATTACTTTTAACAGTAAAATTATTTATACATTGACGTAAATGTTCATGTTTTGACGAACTATGAGGCAGATTTCCTAAATGGGATTCAGATTCGACAAGTTTTGATGGGGAGGCCGTTTATAAGAATGGGTTTAAGATCCTTATTTCCAGTTTCAGAGGGTTTGCATGGAAAATATATAAGTCTGCTCTTGTCGGAATTAAAAGCGAGGTTATATTCTTCAGAATATTTACTTGCTATGCGTAATAAACCATTGGTTGTGGACCCCTCTAGAAATATTGAAATATTGGTTTATATCATAAAGATCTTGGTTCGCTTCAATATTGGCATGTATCGGACTGTAACTTCATGGATTATGGTCCCTGATTGTATGGAAAATTGTGTCTTTAGCTTGTGGACACTCAAGAGGTCACAATTTTTTTTAGATTTTGATAAATTTAAAATATATGTTTATAACCCAAAGATCTCTGTTCCGTTCAATATTGGCACATGTTGGACCATAACATCCTGGATTATGATCCCTTATTGTGTGAAAATTGCTCGTTCGCTGTCCATCTGTTGCATAATATGGGCTTATCTTGCATGTCAATCGCTTGCTAAATGTTTTAATTCAATTTGACATTCCAGGCTGTATGTTGCTCTGATGGGGTACATTGCTGTCCAAGTGGTACAACCTGTGATACTGCTGCTGGCAAGTGTAATAAACAAGATGGCAGTTATGTTTTCATGTCTAAGAAAGTAGCAGCTAAACCTGTTGCAGTGACAGATGTTGTTTGTCCTGGTGGAACATCTCAATGTCCAGACGGTACAACATGTTGTATGCAGGCCAGTGGTCAATATGGATGCTGTCCACTTCCTAGTGTATGTATATTTTTAACCATTTTTCTTTTCAAAATAAGCAATTTTAGTTCTTGAAGATAAAATATTTCAACTATAAATCAGTGTTCTTTATTGTTGATGATGGGTTTAGACAATCCAAGCACATTGGAATAAGATTCCAATCATGATACAAAATAAAATAGGGTTTTATTTTTTTGCACTGACTGGGATACTGATAGGCTGCCCCACCATAAATAAATATCTCCAAATATCTCGACAATTACACCATAATACTTATATATATACTAAGCTTTAAATAAGTTTCGCACAATTATAGTCACTAAATAAACGGTCATGTTGTACTTAATAAGATATGACCATTTAACCATCTATAAATAATATACTGAAAAATGGTTCGGAGTGTCGTTCATGACATCCAGACACTTTTGAGCAAAAAATAGGTTACGTGCCCTTGTTTTGAAATTAGTCTCAATTAACCAGTCTACCGACCATTCTCTGTCTGATTGACAGGCCGGGATAATCAAGACTACTTTTTTACGAAACATGACAGAAAGCTAGAACAAGAAATTGAATTTACAAATAACGCCCAGTGGGCGACACAACAATTGTTTTAAGAACCTTGTAAAGGTAAAACGAAACTACTGCTAGTATCATTTTCCTGCCCAACCCGCGTTATTCAGAGACATTATTTGAACTAAACCAAAAGATGCCACTCCTAACGGTCTAGTTAATAATAAAGCAATTTAAAAAATAAAACGAGCGTAATTTCTAAAGCTGCAGTAATAACCAAAAAGCTAAATATTACTGCTATTCAGAATCGTCAACAATAGATTTTTGATGTCTGTAATAGTTATTACAAGTGTTGAGAATTTCACGTGCAGTGGCTATTTATAGACACAAAGAGAGCCCGAGACTCGTCTGAAATCAATTAGAGTTACATCACTGAAGTGTGCACATTCAACGTGTCGAGTACAACTTTTAGAAGGGAAAAGATTCGGCCACGGGGCACCCTACTTCTGAAGACTGGAATGCAGTATGCTGTAAGGGAAATTTTGCTCCATCAGCACTACCTAGTTAGCATTTATCGTTAGCTTACATAAACTTTACGTCATTTTAGTTCAATTTATTTTGGCTAAATTTAGGTTACTTTTGAGTGGTTATGGTTACTTTTTAATTTCAACTTTCAAGGGTACACAGGACTTCGTTTTTTCATCTCATCCGAACGACAATAGGTTGTGTTTTGACAGGCACCATGCTAGAATATGCCGATGAACTTTCTCGGCCAGCAGGTGAATCGAACACGGGACCTTCAGACTAGTTAGCCAACGTCTTACCAAGCATGATGTCATCACTAGAATTACAACATCATATCAAAAATCAAGAGACTTACACTTATTTCGTAGAGTCACCCCCAACAACAAGAATAAGATGAGTAGATCTTGGGGTGCAGTATCTGGTCAACAAATAAGATCACTATTCATCAATATCCTGAACCCTCCAGAAAGACAAAATTTTGTACAGATTGTGAACATCTTTCAAGAGTTGAAGGTAAATTTAGTACTTTTAGCTAAATATATGTAAGCAATAGAGAAATATTTTTTAATGTTATCAATGGTTTTCCAGGCTGTTTGTTGTTCAGATAAGGTACATTGCTGTCCAAGTGGTACAACTTGTGATGTTTCTGCTGGAAAATGTCTTAAACAAGATGGTAGCCATGTTTTGATGTTTAAGAAAATAGCAGCTAAACCTGTTGCAGTGAAAGATGTCGTCTGTCCTGGTGGAACATCTCAATGTCCAGATAGTACAACATGTTGTAAACTGTCTTCTGGTCAATATGGATGCTGTCCACTTCCCAGTGTAAGTATTTTCATTATTATAGTTTCTGCATCAATATCAATTAACATCTTCATCCCTGCTACAATAAATTCAAATTGATTATGTAACATTGATCTAAGAAAACATCAATTGTAGATAATTTGTCGACTTGGATATAATTGGATTGAAAAGAATCTCATTACAAAACTAGCAGTGCCACCAATAGTTCGTGATGGCTTGTGATTGATATAACCTATATATTCTACAGTGGGTGAAGAATGTTGACAGATTTTCCATTCATCATATCTTTGTCAATTTTGAACAGGAATGAACCATTTTTTTTACACCGACACACCTTTTATGGTTTCACCTTTCCAGGGGTCTCTACAACTGGGTTCGCATCGCACTTTGCAAATAAAATCTTGCCCGTTTCTAATCAATTTGCTACAAAGTAGCTAACTTGATTCGCACAAATGCTAATCATAGATTTTGCTTCTTTTTACTTCTCACATGGACAATTTTATGTACCTTTGGTTTTGCTTATGTCTGATGAGAGGAATCTATTCTCTTTATTTCTTAACTCTCATTACACAATGGTTTTGAACCCTTTGATTTTGCAGTGTACACGTTGTTCGTTCAGATGAGGTTACATGACAGCTTTTAACATAAAGATACTTGTATCAGAGGGATGGTAGTGATGGAAGGCAAATTTAGTACTTTTTAGTTAAAAATGATATTTATTAGTACCATACATGATATGGTATAAAGAAATATTTTTTAATTCGCTTTGACTTTAATGTATCTTAATATGATATTCCAGGCTGTATGTTGTTCTGATGGGGTACATTGCTGTCCAAGTGGTACAACTTGTGATACTGCTGCTGGCAAGTGTAATAAACAAGATGGCAGTTATATTTTTATGTCTAAAAAAATAGCAGCTAAGCCTGTTGCGGTCAAAGATGTTGTCTGTCCTGGTGGAACATCTCAATGTCCAGATAGTACAACATGTTGTAAACTGTCTTCTGGTCAATATGGATGCTGTCCACTTCCAAGTGTAAGTATATTTTCAGACAACAGCATTAATCTTTAATGTTTAATGTCTTTTGCTCTCATGTTGTCCAAATTAAGACTAATTGACTGTGAGCACACATCATCCTTGAAACAGATTTAGCAGCTCATCGGATGAAGTGATTGACATTTTGTTGATAAACTAAAACTTTTGTCATTTTCTGCATCAGGCTGTATGCTGTACTGATGGGGTACATTGCTGTCCAAGTGATACAACCTGTGATACTTCTGCGGGCAAGTGCAATAAACAAGATGGCAGTCATGTTTTGATGTCTGAGAAAATAGCAGCTAAATCTGTTTCAGTAGCAGATGTTGTCTGTCCTGATGGAACCTTGAAATGTCCTGTTGGTACGACATGTTGTAAAATGACAAGCGGTCAGTACGGATGCTGTGCAATCCCTGATGTACGTTTGCCTTTTCATCATTTTACCTATTTAAGTCAAGACTCTTTATTTTCCCTAGTTTTGATCACCCAGAACCTCCTAGTCTTCATCATATGGAGGGCCTAGACCAGTTGTTGACACAAGATAATATCAGACAGGTGATCAATCACATAAATCACCAAATTCCCATTTACGCGTGGACAATAGGACTTTTTAGCTAAAGTCAAGAAAAAGTTGGTTCCCTTTTCAAAATAAATCACAGCAATTTTACAATAAAAAAAAGTGTTCGGATGTTGGAACAGGTAATGCAGATAGATTTGTCTGACATGTCAATTGTTCAAAATGGGCATCGTAATGTGGTTTTATCCCTTATAAAAAATTCTCTCTAACTAAATATAGTAGATTTCACACATGGTGACACAACAAGACAGGACAATTCATCCAGCCTTATAGTTATTTTTTGCCTAGCCAGCACATATCACCATGTCCTTATGACCACTTCCTATTCAGAATCTAAAATGATTGATCTTAATAAAAATATAACTAGTTATAGGTATATTTTCATATTTGGGGGGGTTGGGTGGTCAAGTGGTTTAACATTTGTGCATGAAATCAAAAGGTCTGTCGTTGAGTGAAGTGGTTTCGATTCCCTGCCTGGCTGTGACAAGGAGCAGGGTTGCCCGTCCAACTTTGTGGGTTTTCTCAGGTTCTCTGGTTTTCTCCCACTGCTAAAGACCACTGCGCGCAAGCAAATTATTGCAATAAAATCAAACCATAATATTAGTCCCAAATTGACCTAGTTTTTGTCGAGTGGATATTAAACCCCATATCTCTCTCTTTCTCTATTTTCATATTTAAGATTTTTCTGTATATCTACATTTTAATGTCATATTTTGATGTTTTCCCCAGTCAGCATCCATTGTCAACACTTTCCAGTTCATCAGGCTATTTTTGAACAGACAATTAAATGAAAATATACCTAGTTAAATTAGGAATTAGTAAACATGATAAAGTCTTTTGGTGGTTTTTTTTGGTTATGGATGGGGGTTGGGTCGGTGGCCGAATAGTTAATGCATGCGTGTTGGATTTTAAGTGTGTTGTTTTGATTCCTCGCTGGTTCGCGACAGGGAGTAGGCCGGGTAGTCTGTTCAAACTCATGGGTTTTCCCCGGGTCCTCTGGTTTCCTCTCACTGCTAAAGACCCCGACACGCTTGCAAACTAATGAAATATAATTAAACCATATTTAATCCCGAAATGACCCAGTTTGTGACGTGTAGATGTTAAACCCCATTTCTCGCTCTGTCTTTCTGTTAAGGAAACAGAATATGTCAAACATAATGTTCTGTAATGTTTGTGTCTATCCAAATTCCCTGAATTTCTTGCAGGTTTCAGAGTTGGCAGCTATTGACGTTGAAAAGAGATTATGTAGAGAAACAGAGACATTATTAAAATAATAACAATTGATTCACAAAAAAAGAGTTCAGAGTGTAGAGCTATTTTACTTCTGTTCTATTTTTGGATCTTTAATATTTCATACTATTTGGTCTTATTTTTTGGACAGTTTAAAAATTTGTATATTCTTAAGTTGTAGTAAAATCTTCTAAAACTAGAGCAGTTGTGATTGCCCAACTGCACTTCTTTGGTTCTGAATTGATAAGGACAGCTGGAAATGAAACGGGTTTAACATCTTACTTTTCTGCAAACAATGTGAATCTTAATACATCTTATATATTATTCTAGGCTGTATGTTGTTCTGATGGGGTACATTGCTGTCCAAGTGGTACTACTTGTGATACTGCTGCTGGCAAGTGTAATAAACAAGATGGCAGTTATGTTTTCATGTCTAAGAAAATAGCAGCTAAACCTGTTACTGTAGAAGATGTTGTCTGTCCTGGTGGAACATCTCAATGTCCAGATAGTACAACATGTTGTAAACTGTCTTCTGGACAATATGGATGCTGTCCACTTCCTAGTGTAAGTATTATTTATATCACTTTTACTTTCTGTATTACTCAGATGGCGAACTTTACTCAGTTTATATACATGTATATGTATATACATATAATTATGTATATATAGATTAGACTTGGAAGCCAAAGCTACTGCTCACAAGTCAAGCTTGGGCCAATGAATCCAGCCCATTAGCCTAAATACAAACATACAAATGCCGCTTGAACTCCACAAATGAAAATTTGAATAAGTTGTCCTAGAGAAGGTAAGCACACAAATCTATCAATAGCTAGACTTTGAGCACATAAGCTACTGGCTGGAAAGAACACCATGGGATCAAAGATATTGAAAGTTCTATAAAGCATATCCATATGTATCTCAATTCATTGTATATGATATTCCAGGCTGTATGTTGTTCTGATGGGGTACATTGCTGTCCAAGTGGTACAACTTGTGATACATCTGCTGGCAAGTGCAATAAACAAGATGGTAGCCATGTTTTGATGTCTAAGAAAATAGCAGCTAAACCTGTTGCAGTGAAAGATGTTGTTTGTCCTGGTGGAACATCACAATGTCCAGACAGTACAACATGTTGTAAACTGTCTTCTGGACAATATGGATGCTGTCCACTTCCTAGTGTAAGTATTATTTATATCGCTTTTACTTCTGTATTACTCAGATGGTGAGCTATTTGTCTTACGTGACACAAGTAACTACCAGTAGCCAAATGTATGTACTGCTTAGACTTGGAAGCCACAACTACTGCTCACAAGGCAATCTCGGACCAAGGACTCGGGACATTGGCCTAAATCTTGAACTCCTCAAATGAGAATTGAAATAAGGTGTTCTAGAAAAGGTAAGAAGCATACAAACCAGGGATCTTAATTGGCTGTTTTTTGTCGGCTTTAGCCGATGGAAAGTCCAATAAAGCTGATTGGTAAAACAATGAACCGTCCACTATGGTATCATAAATCAATCTACTTTCGGCTAAATTACAACGGGTTAATTATTACTTGTTAATTAAGTAGTCAATCAACTTGCTTGTCAGCTACAATAACAACCATACCTTAGGGAGAATCGGCGTGGTTCATAATCCGAGTAATTAGCACGAGTAACGGTAATTTTGATATTCCGGTAAAAAAAACAAAACAAGCTTGCTGATTATTCATAACAGATCCAATAAGTTGCCTTTAAGGAAATAAGCCATGTGACAATCGAAGGAAGATGATCTCGTCATGGATTGTGCACCTATTGCATGCCTTCAACGCTCCGTATGAATTCCAGGTGTACCGGTAGATATTAAAATAATAATTGGGTCATAATTTAATGGTTTCAATGACCAGCTGATTATAATCCTCGGATGAAAAACCGAATACACCAAGAAACTGTCATTAATAATATATTAAGATTCTCCAATGCTGATTTAGGTCAATAAACCAGCAATGCTAGTTTTACTTTTAAATAGCGTTTACCATTATGATTTTTTATTTTATACACATGCTGACAGATCGTAATCCTTAAAATGTTTTCATTATATTATTGAAAGCTATGTGGCATAGTTGTATAGAATCTAATTTTAAAGCCATTTCAGTTATGGTTTGTCACGTGATCCCTGTGGTGTGTCTATCATGGACGAATGAATAAAAACAGTCATTTGCAAGTTACATGATAGAAAAAAATCCCTACAAATTGTGTATCAGCTTATATCCATCAAAAAAAAAATTGAATACAGTAATTTATTCAGAAATATTACTGACAATAATTTCAAGCCGATACGTGAATTAAATATGGAAAATATTCCGAAAGGTGTACCTGTTTGTCGTTATTTTTGTGGTAATTACATGTAGTAGAATACGATATTTCTCATAACAAATTATCAAGAATTATTTTTGTAATATATACGATATTTCTCATAACAAATTATCAAGAATTATTTTTGTAATATATACGATATTTCTCATAACAAATTATCAAGAATTAGTTTTGTTGAAGTCTGGTTATAATAAAGGGAATGGAAGCTTAAAATTTTAAAACCCAGTTCCTATCAGAACCTCATTTGACCCGATTCTGGGCCCGGTTCCTAGAGAATTCTTAAAGTAAGCACAAAGTCATGCTTCACTTTTTCTTACGTAAGAAACTTATAAAAATACCGTCCCTAGAAAATTCTAAAGACCATTCTTACGAAAGCACAAGTCAAGTATAAGTCTAAGCACATTGTGACTGGTAAAGTTTACCATAAACTGAGACTATGGTGCTCTTTAATGTCATAAAAACAACTTTGGTATGCGAATTACGTCTTAAATTTGTCATCTGCTTCATTGCCGTCATATATATATATATATGGTTCATTTCGATGCATTTGACATGTCCCCTATTCACATATAAAATGTGCCACAAGATAAAAAAAACGCAGACACATACTAACTAAATAATTGTGAGAGCGCCTGATCTTAAAGTAGCCCGTGTGTTTGTAGCCTATTGTTTACTAATTGGCAAATAAATAAAATGGTTTCAGGGTAGGCCTAGAAGCGAAATTTTCTATAGCATTCTTAATTTGAAATTTCTTCTGGAGAAGGATTTTCTCTCTCTTGTAATTGTCTCTTTGGTATCAAAAGGTGTCATAAATGACGTCGAATAACTCTACGGTCAGCCATCGTTTTGAAGCAGAAACAGATTTAAGGTTGGTAAGCAAGCCGTATACCTTGCTTGGGACTTGTGCTTAGATTGACTATGATTAAGAACAAAGTTGTGCTTAAGTTTTTTCTTGGAACGCATAATAACGTTCTTGTGCTTACAATGAGGTCTACTTAAAATCTAAGCACAAGAACGTTCTTAAGAATTTTCTGGGAACACAAAATAAGGTAAGTTTACTTAAATGTAAAGTCTACTTAAATCTAAGCACAAGAACGTGCTTAAGAATTTCTAGGAATCCGGCCCTGGCCGGTTCGTTTCAAAATGGATTAAGGACACTGACACAAACCTATCAATAGCCAAAGAAACTTAAAATTGGATCAGATTTTGAGCATCTAAGCTACTGGCTGGAAAAGCACCTTGGGGCCAAAGATATTGAAAGTCCTATAAAACATGTCCACAACTGAATATCATATGTATCTTAATTCATTGTATATGACATTCCAGGCTGTATGTTGTTCTGATGGGGTACATTGCTGTCCAAGTGGTACAACTTGTGATACATCTGCTGGCAAGTGTAATAAACAAGATGGCAGTCAAGTTTTCATGTCTAAGAAAATAGCAGCTAAACCTGTTACTGTAGAAGACGTTGTCTGTCCTGGTGGAACATCTCAATGTCCAGATAGTACAACATGTTGTAAATTGTCTTCTGGTCAATATGGATGCTGTCCACTTCCTAGTGTAAGTATTATTTATATGGCTTTTAATTTCTGTATTACTCAGATGGTGAGCTATCGGTCTTACATGTGACACAAGTAACTACCAGTAGCCAAATGTATGTACTGCTTAGACTCGGAAGCCACAACTACTGCTCACAAGTAGGGGTGATGATTTTCCGTGATCGCGGAAAAAACACGGAAATCGCGGAATTGTTCACTCAAAACGGAATTTGAAATCTCACACGGAAAAAGACGGAAAAGCCGATATTTGCTGATACTAAACACAAACTCAAAACAATTTTGCAGTTATCCAAGTATTTCATCTTTTTATTCATAAAAATCGGAAATATTGAATGATATCGCTTGGTTTTGTTACTGTCTATTTTAGTATTTAGCTACTTTCATTTCATCATTTAGGAATCATAATTTTAATCGAAACGAAAACCTGTCTTTCATGTATCCCTGTATAAAATTACTCTGTAGTTTAACTTGAATTAAACATTGTAATGTATATATATGTCTAAAAAAAAACTTCTGTCACTTCATAAAAATAAAAATCATTTCATTTACTTCTTATTTTACTGCCGGGCTCGTGACTCGTGTTTATCCGCATTAACCACGTGACATCAGAAATATACCGTAGCCAGTCCTTATTCTCGAAGAAACGGTAGTAACTACAAAGATGTCTGGATAAATCGCGACTACAACTAGCAGCTGAGAAAAATGGCTTCGTCTGCTAAAAAGATGAAACGAGCTCACAAGATGTAATTTTCTGTTATTTAATTCGGGAAACAGGTTTAAAGAACAACTAGTCATTGAACATTACAAGTCATTCAACATTTGTTATCATTGGTTTAAAATGATCCGTTTTGTAATAAAAGGCATTTTAAGATGTTTTATTCATTTATTCATAAAATAACATTTTATCTCGAAAAAACGGAATATGGTCAGCTCTGAAACGGAAAATAACGGAATTAAAAGTACTTAAAACGGAATTTGCTATTTTCTGAAACGGAAAATCATCACCCCTACACAAAGCAATCTCGGACCAAGGACTCAGGGCCATTGGCCTAAATCTTGAACTACTCAAATGAGAATTGAAATAAGGTTTTCTAGAAAAGGTAAGAAGCACACAAACATATCAATAGCCAGAGGGACTTAAAATTGAATCGATCTTTGAGCACCTAAGCTACCAACTGGAAGGTCACTGTGGGGCCAAAGATATTGAAAGCCCTATAAGTTTATCCACAACTTTTTATCATGTGCATCTTAACCTTACATGCCTAGTCTTGCAATTTTGAGAGAGGCCCAAAGTGCTTGAGAATTACCAATCTCACAATTTTGCAAGAGGTAAAAATGACCGAAAATTCCTTACTCGTATTTTTGCGAGCTATGAAAGATGACCAAGTATTTCCAATCTCGCATTTTGGCAAGAGATGTACCTGCCTCAGATCTTTGTTCCATGTAAAAAACCTGTTCCGCATTTTAGTGTGACTCCACTATGACAGAGAGAGAGAAATGGGGTTTAACGTCCACTCGACACAAACTAGGTCAGTTTGGGACTAGCATATGGTTTAATTTTATTTCAATAATTCGCTTGGGCATAGTGGTCTTTAGCAGTGGGAGGAAACCGGAGGTCCCAGGGTAAACCCACGAGGTTGGACAGGTGACCCTACTCCTTGTCACGTACAATTGAAACCCCACCAGCTGACTCAATGACAGACTTTATGATACAGCGCACGCTAACCATTCAGCCATCCATCCCCCACCCTCTATGACACTCTTCGGTTCACATGCTTTCCAATGATCTATAGATAACGCAGTGCTTCAACAGTACATATGTATCTTAATTCATTGTATATGATATTATAGGCTGTGTGTTGTTCTGATGGGGTACATTGCTGTCCAAGTGGTACAACCTGTGATACTGCTGCTGGCAAGTGTAATAAACAAGATGGCAGTCAAGTTTTCATGTCTAAGAAAATAGCAGCTAAACCTGTTACTGTAGAAGATGTTGTCTGTCCTGGTGGAACATCTCAATGTCCAGATAGTACAACATGTTGTAAATTGTCTTCTGGTCAATATGGATGCTGTCCACTTCCTAGTGTAAGTATTATTTATATGGCTTTTAATTTCTGTATTACTCAGATGGTGAGCTATCGGTCTTACATGTGACACAAGTAACTACCAGTAGCCAAATGTATGTACTGCTTAGACTTGGAAGCCACAACTACTGCTCACAAGGCAATCTCAGACCAAGGACTCAAGACCATTGGCCTCAAATGAGAATTAGAATAAGGTGCTCTGAAAAAGGTAAGAAGCGCATAAACCTATCAATAGCCAGAGGGACTTAAACTTGGATCGGATTTTGAGCTCCTAAGCTACTGGCTGGAAGAGCAGCTTGGAGCCAGAGATATTGAAAGCCCTATAAAGCATATTCACAAAGGAATATTATGTGTATCTTATTATTATTTCATTGTATATAATATTCCAGGCTGTATGTTGTTCTGATGGGGTACATTGCTGTCCAAGTGGTACAACTTGTGATACTGCGGCTGGCAAGTGTAATAAACAAGATGGCAGTCAAGTTTTCATGTCTAAGAAAATAGCAGCTAAACCTGTTACTGTAGAAGATGTTGTCTGTCCTGGTGGAACATCTCAATGTCCAGATAGTACAACATGTTGTAAACTGTCTTCTGGACAATATGGATGCTGTCCACTTCCTAGTGTAAGTATTATTTATATCACTTTTACTTTCTGTATTACTCAGATGGTGACCTACTGGTCTTGCATGTGACATGAATCACTACCAATAGCCAGAGGAACTTAAAATTGGATTGGACTTTGAGGACCTAAGATATTGAGGTCACAATTTTCATCTGATTTCGATGAAACTTGAAATGAATGTTTATAACCCAAAGGTCTTGGTTCCTTTCGGACCGTAACTACCTGAATTATGGCCCCTGATTTTACAAAAGATCGCATTTTAACTTGTGGTCCCTCTAGAGGTCACAATTATTATCCGATTTAAAAAAATGTTTGAATATAAAAGCCTTACTCTATAATGTCGTTGATTTCAAATTTCGTTAAAATCGGACGAAATCTGCCAGACAAAATCGCCGTTCCTTGTATGCAAATAGTATAAAATATGGTATATCAAGGTTGTGGAACCTCTAGAGGCCACATTTTTAATCCGATTTTGATGAAACTTTTAATTTATGTTTATATCACAAAGATCTTGTTTCTTTTCGATAATCGCGCATATCCGAACGAACTTCCTGGATTATGCCCCCCCCCCCCCCATTGTTCAAAAAATCACATTTTTAGCATGTGAACCTGCTAGAAGTCACAATGGTTTAAGTATATCACCGTTACACATCAATGAAGATTGAGTTCATAAAAATCTGACCAGAACTGACGGACAAAATGGCCGTTCCTTGTACGCGAATAGTGTAAAAGTATGTAATGCCACGGTTGTGGACACTATCCGATTTTGATGAAATGTATGTTTATAATCCACAGATCTTGGTTCCTTTCCAAATTTGCTCATACCGTAAATTCCTTGATGGTACGAAAATTCTGATTTTTTGCCTGTGGCTGTGGATCCCTCTAGAGGTCACAATTTTTGTCCGATTTTGAAAAACATTTAAATTTATTACACCCTACACCAAAACTGCCTGACAAAATGGCTGCTCCTTGTACACAAATAGTGTAAAAATATGTCATACCAAGGTTTTGGACCCGCTAGAAATCACAAATGTTATCAGATTTTGATGAAACTTAAAATATATGTTGATGTCCCAAAGATCTCAGTTCCTTTCACTATTTGCACATATAAGACTGTAACTTCCTGGATTATAGCCCCTGATTGTTAAATAAATTGCTTCTTTTTTTTTGAGCTTGTTCTCTGTCGATATCTTGCAAAGTGCGGGGGTATCTTGCATGGCAACTGCTTGTTTATATCACTTTTACTTTATACTACTATGATAGTGAGTTATCAGTCTTACATGTGACATGAGTCACTACCAGTAGCCAAATGTATATACAGTTTAGACTTGGAAGCCAAAGCTTGGACCAAGGACTCCAGCCCATAGGCCTGAATACAAACATAAAACAGCTACTTAAACTCCCCAGATAAGAATTGGTATAAGGTGTTCTAGAGAAGGTAAACATACAAACCTGTCAATAACTAGAGAGACTTAAAATTGGATAGGATTTTGAGCACCTAAGCTACTGACCAGAAGACCACCTATAAAGTATAGCCACCTTTTATATGATATTCCAGGCTGTATGTTGTTCTGATGGGGTACATTGCTGTCCAAGTGGTACAACTTGTGATACTGCTGCTGGCAAGTGTAATAAACAAGATGGCAGTTATGTTTTTATGTCTAAGAAAATAGCAGCTAAGCCTGTTTCTGTTGAAAAGGTAAATTAGTTTATTTTCGAGTGAGTTTAAATGTGTTAGTTTGAAGGATGAATAATAGACATGCTAAAGGTGTAAAACTTTGTTATTGGTTTCATTGATATGATATACCATAATTGAAAAAATAATCCCTAGTTCAAAATATGAAAAAAAATTATGAAAAAGATGTTCTTGGGCTAAATTTTAACGGCAAAATTAAATATTTCTTACCAGTTTGTATTTAATTGGAATTAATAAGAGTATTTCATATCACTTTAAATATAATTGAAATGAATAAGAATATTTCAGGTCAGTTTAAATTTTTTGGAAATGAATAAGAATATTTTGTATCAGTTTAAATTTAATTGAAATTAATAATAAATTTAGTTGAAATGAATAAGAACATTTCTTATGGGTTTGAATTTAGTTGAAATAAAAAGAATATTAGGTCCTTTGAAATATACAATAATGTCTGAAATAAATGTAATATGGATTATGACATGTTTCACTAAAACAATCCTAGATGTATGTAAAACTAAATTATTGATGTATGCCTTAGCGATATTAAACATACATGTACATTATGCAAGAGCTAAATCTGCCTATTGCAGGTCATTCTTTAGACCTGAAATGTTATCTAAATTATTAATTAGACATTGAATAACTTATCCAGACCATAATCAACTCTCGATGTCAACGCAATATTTATTGGATTATGATCCGATTTGCTGCTCAACTTTCATTCATGATTTAATCATGAAATAGATAATCGAGACTATGTTTTTTATCGTACCGAGAATAGGCCGTAAATTCAATTGCTTAATTCTCGGTTCATAGTGGAAATTTTCAGCAAATTGCCTTTACATTATATAGGTTTTTTTTAACTATTATAGTGAGAACTGCCAGCTCTTTATCTAATCTCCCATAGTCTATCTTTAATATTTCCTTAGTTTCTAGTAACTGTCACTCATTTTTTTAAAGGAGTAAATAATTCATTCATATTTTTCATACTAAAAAGAAAAGCTCATATTCACTTATATCTGTATTTCAGCAATCTTCGTCAATCTCAGTCAAAGACTCATTCACTGATATAGATCATCTTAAGGGGATTTATGGTGTAATGTGTCCTGATGGTCATTCCCAGTGTCCAAATGATAATACATGTTGTAAATTATTTAGTGGAGACTATGGATGCTGCCCATTACCTGATGTAAGTATAGTGATAGTAAATCAAGACTTGGCTTATAGGGAGTAAAACACATTAACTTATATTAGTACCTGATGTAAGTATAGTGATGGTAAATCAAGACTTGGCTTATAGGGAGTAAAACACATTAACTTACATTAGTACCCACAACAGATCTTGTGTAACTTTTGACCACACTATATAGATACCAACTCCTATAATTTCACAAGCCATCTGTTTCTAGCACAAATACATTCATATCACAAATTATTCCGCCTATCTTAAGCAAATCTCCAAAATAATTTTCAAAACATAACTTTTGTTTGATTTATTTTTTTATGCTGTTGATTGGATGGAGGGGCAAATTCCCCTCGTGAGCATAGAGGGGAGGGGGGGGGGGGCTCCCTCAGAAAACAGAGGACAGGCAGGCAATTTTGTTAGGAAGTTGATATTCGTTGGATTGCCTTTCAAACCCCTAAATTTTTAGACCAGGAAATGGTCCCCAAGCGCTACTCATCTTCTTGGAGGTGACACATTTAAGTACAATCGAAATGAAACTTGGCACATTTGTTCCTTGTACAATTGCACATCAATTGACAGACTTTGATTTTTAAAATGAATGTCACAATTCCAAGGCTACATAGACATCATGTACTCGATTCCTGGTCCAAATAATATGCTCATACTTTTGCCATTGACATTTATTTTTTAGTTGCTGGTATTGTACAGACAATACAGTTTGCTTACTACTTTTATTTCACATCAAGTTTAAGACCTGTAATTTCATTATTTAATATTTAATTATATTTCTAGGCTACATGTTGTTCAGATGAAGAACATTGTTGTCCACGAGGTATGACCTGTGATACAACTAAAAGTCAGTGTGATAGTAATGGTATAAAAGTTTCGATATTTAAAAAATCACCAGCTAAATTAAAAGTAAGTTCTGGTATTTGAGTTCATGTAAACTGTAAAAGTGAATTAGACAACGACACTTCTTGATAACACCATATAAACTTTATTTTCCTGAACAGGTCGAGAGCCAGTCACAGGCTGCTCTCTCACAAGATCATGGGCCGGGTACTTTCTCAGACACTTATTAATATTCATTACATGTATTATTCATCATCTCCATTAACTCTGGATATAATTTTGTTTAAATTGTTTGATGAATCTGAGCAGACTTTAGCTTTCAGGTGCGCATAAAGAATAACAAAACCGGTCAGCAAAGTGGGATACATTGGTACTGGATTGTCATATGACAAAATGTTTGAATAGCAAATTTAAATTAAGACTGTGTCTTAGAAAATCATGGGATAGAACATGTATGGAATTTCATTTTGAACATTATTAAAAAGTACATAATCAAATAAAATATTAAACTATTTTCAGATATCATGTTGTGGTAGTAGATGTTGTCCAGATGGTTATTTATGTAGTGCTAGTGGTTTATGTAAGAAATTAACCAATACTGAATGGATGAAATTTAAAAATGGTTTTTAATGACTAGGAAAATTTAAATATTAAAATTTTAAGATAACAAATAAAATGTATATCCATGAGGCATAACAAATAAAATTTTCAAAATTTATGTATATTAGATTTGTCTCAACACAAACATTTATCTCAATTTAAAAATTCCAAGTAAAAGTTTTTGTCGAGTTTGTTTTTCATAGAAATATGCAAGTGTACTTATATTGTTTTACCTGAACACTTTCTGTTCAATGTGAATAGTCAGATTTATTAAATATTACCACCATTGGCATATATGTGCAATTAGACAGATGTATTTATAGATTGACCAGTCAGCGAATTCCAGACTAAAACATTGTATATCAGCATCATGCCGTCTCAGTTTGCTTCATGTCACATGCTCCACTTTATGATCATTCCTATTATACTTATATTATTAGAAATATACCCTATTATTTAGTTTTTCAGAAAATTCACATTCATGCTTCAAACCTATTTGCATATTTTAACAATAGGTCTTAATACTCCAAAGGTATTTTTGTTAAGGTATATTACAGAACTGTAAAATGATCCTTATTGTTGCTTTAAATATTTCAGAAAAAGTTCAACTTTTGATTTATACCCTTTTTGTGCATATTAAATAATTTGTTAATAGTAGAAAGAAATATCATTTTATTTTATAAGAAAAACTACAACATAGGGAGTATTACATCGTTTTCATTTAGAGTTATGTGTATTATGTATTAATGTACTTTTTTAACCATGAAAGGGAATCTTTTGTAGTCACATGGTGGTCAAATGAGTTTATTTTCTGTGGATATCATGACCTCTCATGCCAGATGAATTTGTTTGCCCTTCCAGTTCTGCCTTTTGGAACAATATGTGATATTTGATAATTGTTTTCCTTTCTTGGTTAATAATTTTGTTATGATTTAATTGTATTATTTATTTACCCATCAAACTAATCAATGTAGCATGTACATAGAGTTCAGCATACATGTGATTGTACATTTTTATAAGGATGAATAAAAATATTTTCTATGGTATAACTTTTTTTTTTTCATTTATAATGCTGCTGCTATTACATTAAAAAAGTTTTAAACAAACTAGTATGATATATTTAATTCCACACCCCTCCTTCACTAGAACTTCCATTAATCAGATACCAATTACAACAAGTACAGTATTTGGCTGTACAGGTAATAGGGTTTGGGGGTCTTGAAACCTTTCTGACCTTCAATAACAGTTTTTACTTTGGGCACTTGTAAACAAGTTTAATTTGAGTAACACACTCTATTCATCTATTTGCTGATGACGAGCAGCTTTACATTGAATTAGATGCAATTTCACATTAATGTGATAGAATATTGCGTCAAGACATACATCAATGTATGATCGCATACTTTTCAAAATTAAACCCAGACAAAACAGAGTTTCTGATAATTGGTACCAGACAGCAACATAAAATAGCTCTGATATACAAAAACATTGGTGCAGTTTTCAGTATCATGTTTTGGTCGTGAGCATTCAAATAGCAAAAATCAGACCGCAACAACATTGAACGCTTGATTGATGCTATTACTCTTATCAAAACCCGCAAACATGATCGTATTTCACCTGTTCTTAAAATAATCCACCGGCTACCAATTTAACCGTATTTAAAATAGTATCTAGGTATAGTATGGATAGTCTCAAGATACTACAAATGTTTTTTTCCAACTGAGGAGCATAAAAAAAAACGTGATCTCCAAAACAATGTCTTATTTCAAGGCTAAAAATGTTGAAATTGATGGTTGCCAAGGCAACAAAAACTGTAACGGTCACTTTGGCTGAATTTAAAAAATGGCACCGACCGATTCCGAAAAGTTTAGGTCATAACGAACATTTTAGTATACGGTGCCAAGCGGTTACCAATAAAAAAAAATTCAATATACATAACCCTATACAGACTATATGTTGATATACACGTATCATTATTATATTAATACCTGAGAGAGAAAAGATAGAGCCCTGGGATATGCGAAATATGCTCACGCGGGAAATGTTCATGGGGTTAATAATAATTGCCGCGCTTCGACCTCTAGCTGGCCGGTCACCTCTGGCTTGCGGTTGTGGTTTCGATCCCTATTGTGAGCGTATGTGGCTTGGAGATAGGGGCGCCTTCTCAACCTCGTGGGTTTCCTCCGGGTGCTCCGGTTTCCTCCCACAGGAAAGACGCGTGCGCTAAGATAATAAAATTGAAAAATAAGACTTGTCTGCGATATCAATCTCGGTGGAAGCGGACGTTAAACACTAAGAACAACAACAACAATTCTTAGGAAGAGAATGACGTTTTCAGAAGTTAGATGCTCTGCCTAGAGCTAGTTCAGTGAATTAAGGGAAACCGAAAGACATTTTAATTTTGAGTTCAAAGTTTTATAACTGCTTGTAAATATGTACATGTATTCTGCTTAATATAAAAACATATGTTTGAAGAACAGCGTGTTCCTGGATTGTTAACCACAGTGAAGTAATATGGAGTCCGTGGGAATGTTCATTAAAATTTGCAGACCACAATTGAAACAAGGTGAAGCAAAGAATCAACGGCTGTGACGAAGGACATTGCTATACCTATTCTTCTTGTCATTTTGCAGTGTTACAATCTGCTGTGTTACAAATGATCTTGCGGACCTAACTATATTGTAAAGAATCAACTGAATTTCAATTTACTTGTAGTGCAAAGAACTTGTTCAAATTCGATATAATAGTCTTAGTAATGAAGAACTCGTGTACACCACTATTTATAGACATTACGTGGCGTTATTTCCGATGAAACCAAACTACTGGGATTAAACAACATTGTAAATATACGCAGTATGGTTGTCAGGTTACGGGGGTTCTTTACTCGTGAACCCTGAGTGGTAGTTTTTCACTTAAAAGAAGTTTTAACCAATTTTTGTTCATACATTGTATATTTATTGACGGGGTTAGAAAACAAAAAGTTAAAATACTATATATACACAAATCAAATAAACATTAAAATATCACAATTATTTCTATTGTATTAAATATTCGGAACATCCAATGGGTGAAGTTTTGTACTCAGTGGTAGGTGGTTTCTTCTTCTTTCATTTTCGGCTTCTAATGCTTGATGATAAAATCCATAATAATCCCCTCGGGAGTTCCGAGCTAAAGGCGCAGAGTTGTCCATGGTTGTCCATGTTCTCTGAGATGCGGTATTTCCGGGCATATCTGGTAGATTGCGTGTATACCCAAACAATCTCAATTCTGGAACTCCTGATGGTGCCAACCCCACATCTTTGTGAAAATATCCTGGAAAATATTGTGGATTTGTAATTGATTAAAAACAATTAAACAAGACTTCCGAGTCATCACACCTTATATAAATAAGCACTTTATTGATGGAATTTTATAACAATCCGAAATTAAATTACGTAAAGATAGGCCCGGTATCTGTCTAAAACTTCAGGTTTGTCCAGAGATTTACGACCGTACGCCACCGGTCTCATTCTAATACAGCCTTTTTTTTAAAAAAAAAACAAAACCCAAAAACATGGATTTACGTGGGTATAACGTGGTTGGTTAACTTAATTATAATTTTACAAAAATACAATTTGTTATTCCTGGAAGGAATTGCGCTGAATGCTATCGAATATGTTGTCTATATATAGGTGTCGCAACTCCATTGCTCGCGTTGAGTAACCCTAATATTAAATTTCATTTTTATTTCAAAATTTGGTGTGTTATTTCTTTCTTTTTTTCTTTTTTGGAGATAATGTGATGTGTTCTCAAATAACTAATGTCTCACCTCCTGGCGTGTCTCTATTTCTGGTGAAATAAACCCACTCATCTACACTTTGAAAATCAATGGCGTCTCGTCTGGCCTCTCTGGGATAAGAACGGTAATTTGGATGATCTATCCATCGCCTTTCTGACGGTACATAATGAGATACTCCTGGCCAGACTGTAGATTTCCAATCACCACTTAAATAATTGTTGGATGGTGTTGAATAGTGTGGTTTGGGTAATCTTTGTTTATAGGCGTCCATTTATATAAGCTGATTTTTTTATGGGGAAAAAAGAAAAAAATAGTTTAGAACATAAGTGATTAAGCTACATCAATAACTTCTCTATCTATGAGGAAAGGTCTACATGTAGGCTAGTGCGTCTGTCTGTTCACTGTGATCATGAGAGAAAAATGGTTCAATTTTATTTTAAAAAATTCGCTTGCGCGTAGGGGGATTTTATAGCGAGGACTACCGAGGACCCGGATAAAACCACGTACAAGCAGGAAGTCGAAACCACGCGCCACTTGACTCTATGACAGACCTTGCCACATCTTTGATTTTTTGCATTGTTATAATGTTAAATCAACCAAAATATTCTAGATAGGCCTATATATGAAATTTGATTTATAGATTTAGGCTACATATATCCTGGACTGTATAGGTTACTTCATACGGTCAATGGATAATATAAAACAATTTCGAATCGCCTAACTAAATATTCACTATAATTCAGACGAACTGTCTCTTTAAATTATTTTATCATCACGGCAACCGTAAAAATGACCGTTGTTATGGAAGCTTTTGTCCCGTTTAACCAGCAACTCTTAATTAATAACTATCTTATGAAAGCATCCTGGTCTATGTTAAAAATATTTTAGTATCATTGATGACCAAACAAAACCTCATAAACTGACCTTACGTATACGGTAGGTAATCTAAAAATAGCTTATCCAACCCGGAGAATGACAACGTGACAACAGTTTCTGTCCGCTTCACTGTTAGATTTTGACTTACAGTGAGACTGATCTAGAGGGCGCTTTCCACAGTAGTAATCGTTCGTTGCTATGTAAATAGTCGCTAGTGCTACTTATCAGATCTATTGTTTACTAATCTTTAAGATGGCTGCTCAAAGTAAGTATTATTTATTAGTTCATTATAAAATCATTAAACTTACAATTAATTGGACAGTGTTAGTATAATTAGATCTATTTTTTAAACCAAATGAATTTTATCCAGCAATAACAGTTGGAGCCTGTCATCCGTAGTCATGATCATCATGACAGCAAACGAAATAGTGGGGATTTCCCTTAACCCTACCGTCGGTTATTGGCAATTTCATTATTTTCCCCTTACAATCTATCGGTCCATCCATAATCATTGTTATCGATGAATATAAAAATATGTTAGTTGTATAGGGAAGTCATCCCATAATATGTTTTCTCTATAATTTAAAGTAGAACCGTTGACGTTTGGCAACCACACTTTGAAACTGACAAATAAATTTGATGTCTTAGAAGTTAGAAAAACATCTACAATTGAAAGCCCCAGATATTTGCATGCGAACGGGATTGGCCATTTTAGTAGGGTTCCCACATAATAAACTAGTTATATTCACTGGGCCAACATCAGCCTGTAGCCTACTGTAATACTGTAACTGGTCTGATTGTCCTAAACCATTAAAATAAAAGTATTCCCTTAATTTTCAGTGGAATCTCTCCAATCTAGTCAACAGAGTACTGCAATAGGTACGCCTTTGTATGAGCAAACACCTAGAACCTCAGAACCAAACTATCCCTTAGATGGAAAGTCATATGTCTTTACTGGACCATCTTACTATGTCCCCACCGAAAGACGATGGCTTTCTATAAACGACTACAGAGCACTGCCTATTGAAACCAGACGAGATGCCATTTTATTTGAATCTGAAAATGAATGGAGGAAGTATCAAGAGTCTCCCGGAATATGGTCGAATAGCAGTAAGCAATTTTTAAAAACAATATTTCTATGGGGAGCCTTGTTGTAGAAACACAATTTTCGGCACCGTTTAGCGAGGATTATACGGAACTGGTATCAATCATATTGATCAAAACTGTTATATCTATATAAAAAAACCCAGGATAAACAAATTTTATTTAGTATCCTATATTGCAGTATAAATTTCAAAAGCTAACATATCTATTATATTACCATAGTTCATTACTTTGAAATTTTATTTTACAGGTTTGTCTGACATTCCTGCAAAATACCCTACTTCACACACTTCAGTTCTCCTACCATATCAACGAACAGCATGGTCGCGAGGTTGGGATGGTTCGGGATTTTTCGTTCCATCAACGAATGCATGGATCCATGAACAAGTCGGTCCCAATATTCCCACTGAATCTTTATTATTTTATAATGAAGAAGACTGGATGAAATTTAAATATATGGCTGAAAATCCTGTCTTACCAAATCTTCAAAAAGAAGGAAAAATAATTATTTGATGTGTTTTCATCAGACAGAATTAACCGGTTGTTATTTTTGATTTACGAATATATTTGAAGTAATAACACCAGAAGAATGTTCATATTATCTTTAAAGTTTAATTTATATACATGTGGACAGTTGAAATATATAATGTTTATTTAAAATAGAAAAAGTCTACTTGAAAATGATTTGTAAACAAACAAATGGAAAGAACTGTTTATTAAGAGAGAGAGAAATGGGGTTTAACATCCACTAGACACAAACTAGGTCATTTCGGGATTAACACATGGTTCAATTTTATTTCATTAATTCACTTGCGCATAGATAGGGGGCTTTAGTGGGAAGAAACCGGAGAAAACCCACAAGGTTGGACAGGCGACGCTACTACTTGTCACATAAAACCAGGGAATTGAAACCATACCAGTTGACTCAATGACAGACCTTATGATACAGTGCGAATGTGCTAAACAATAGGCCATTCCCCCACCCCCAATGTTTATTGACAATGAGAACGATACTATCGAGTTATGAGTATAATGCCCCAATGTTAAATAAACTGCACCATGTTTTTTGCACAAAAGTGTCCGTACAGTACCTTAAAGTAAATTTCAACTAAATGAATTGATTCTAACCCCATTATTTCTTTGCATTTTATATAACATACATAGTTTGTTAACTATGTAACATGTCAAAGAAAGAGATCCCCTACCCTGGTATTAAAATTAAATAAATATAACCATGCATCAAACAGAAAGGACATGGAACTGCAACTGTCAGTGTGCATCTGTGGATTATTAAGTTTATGTAGATGTGTTATTGATATGAAAAGTATTTTTTTATCTATTACTTCAAGATTTTCGTCTATTTATAACAATTCCATCCACCGCTTCAAAGTTCAATTAACATGAGAGGAGTAAACAAAAATGATCAATCAGTAGATTCCTGGCAGTAGCACAACCCTGCTAGAGGGTCCACCACAAGCTAAAAATGTGGTTTCTCATACAATCAGGGGACATAATCCAAGAAGTTATGATCCAATATACACCAATATCCAAAAGATCCAAGATCTTTGGGTTATAAACATGCATTTTAAGTTTCATCAAAATCTGATAAAAAATTGTGACACCTCCAGACTGTAGACTAGAGTGTCCACAAGCTAAAACTGTGATTTTTCGTACAATCTGGGGTGATAATCCATGAATTTACGGTCCGATACATGCCAATATCGAAAGGAACTGAGATCTTTGGGAGATAAACCTTATTTCAGTTCATCAAAATCGGTTTCCGCATGTCAGTGAAGCAGGACACAGAACGATTGGATGGGAGAATAAAAAAACCCAGAGGTCCCATGTATACGTAAACAAATCTGATGAAGAGTAGAAAGAAATTCTGATCTCCAGGCAAAATTTCCCCTCACACAGTCCAACTTTCATGGGTATGTAAAAAAAAAAAAAGTAATAGGTGTGCATTGAGGACATACAGATTATTCAATTAAATAATTCAATTATTCATACATTTAGAACAGAAACCCAAAATAGTTCAACACACTTTGATCGAATTAACATATACAGGTACGATTCCTTTTAAAATTGTGTAATATGTTTCTGTGGATTAATCAGTATTTCTTTCAGTTCTTATTTGATATTATAAAAACAAGCTAAAACAAATGTTTATATTTCAAAATAATTTTATAATTCCATTTTAAAAGAATAATTTGAACACCAACATTAATACATATTCTTTATAATAATAACATATTGCATAGTACAAATATAATTCAAAGCCTTTATATCAAATTACAAAATTATTACACTTTCAATAATTTGTAGATATTTCAAAATCACAGTCATGGGTTTATAATTAGGAAGAATATAAAATCAAGTATTAATTAATATGTTTATTGCAATATCAATGGCCTCAAGAATTCTCATTCAATAACAATTGCAGAACAAGCACAAAAAGGTTTAGAAATATGTGTGATTTAAAGAGTGTGACATTAAGTAATATACTGATATTGCATGAGGACGTTAGTCCAAGTGTTGTATCACTTTTAAATCAATCAGAATATATCAATCTTTTCAGACCATCTCCTGCCTTAAAGGTTAAATCAATCTTTTGAGACCATCTCCTGCCTTAAAGGTTAAGAGCAAGGCATTAAGTAATACATTAATGAGGACGTTAGCTCAAGAGTTGTATTACCTATAGACGACTTAAAATACAGATTAGACTATCACATATCAATAATTTACCATTGGCAATACCTTTACAAAGAGCCTGTACCTTTATATGAAATAACAGTAAGCCAACAACAAGGATGACATAATATTTGTACTTAAATTATAGATACATGTAACAACCAATTTTGTAAAATCCAATACAAAATAAACCTTTGTAAAATATACGCCAAATAAAGCAGAAACATGTATAATTAGGTAACAGTTCATGGTGCTAAGTGAAAATGCACAAATAGAAAAATAATTTTGCAAACAAACCCCTTAAATAACATTATTGTTAACTCCTTAAAATTTAGTGTTAAGTGTCTAGACTCTTTTCCCAGTCCTTTTTATGGCTATTGTGATGACCAGAGGAGAGACAAATCAAAATACTTCAAGACAGAACAAGTAAAAATACACCATAGCAAAAGTTTAATGAAGATATAGACCAATATTCAGTTTCTCATCCAGTAAGTTAAATGATTATTTGTACAAAAAACCAATCACAACATGCTGTATTTATAGTCATGGAGTTATTAAAGTCAGTTATCCACAGGATAATACAACAGTAAACTACAGTGGATTTAATTTTAAAAAGTTAATTACTACATGTATTCAGTATATGGGTTTAAAATCACGGATATTCATATTATGATTCAATTCTCCATCAATATACCAGTAACATATAGTGCAGGTGAAAATAATAGTTTTAATATTTATCATTTTGTATGTTATTCATACACAGTTTCTTAAAATTATGCTAAATTCACAGTTTCTACACATAAAATGAAGAATTAAACCTTAAAAAATTATAGAATGTTGACCAAAATCAGCAATTCATAAGCTTTTCTTTAGAAAAAAATAACCAACTTTGGAGTGTTTATCAAATTCAGCAACTCCTGATTTATTTATAAAAAAAAACCCAACAAGATTTGGAATGTTGATCAAAATCAGCAATTGATAAGATTTATTTTCCTAAAAAATCACAAACTTATCAAATTTAGTGACCACACAAATATTTTGATTTTGATCATGTAAATTCTCAAACTGTAATATATCACAATTTATATAAACTTTTAATAATATCAAAGTTTTATGATTCACAATTAGATTCTGCATGTTCATTTTCCTCGAAAACACTTGCCTTTATACAACATCAAAAATATTGTTAAAATTTTTTTCTTGACAAAAATGTTAAAATTTGAAAACGTTATGCATTTCCTTTAGCCCATAAATATTGTCATGTAAACCATCATTGTCATTGGGCAGCACTTTCACATATAACATCACAGATCAGTAAACGAAAGTACATTTGATTTTTACAAAAGATGAACACAGGTTGACTGAGCTATATGTACTACTCATAGGAATGCCTTGCTTATTGATTATAATGCTTTATATAGATCATTGCTATACATCTGTTTCCTGAACTGTATTTCTATGCCGTTGATAATCTAAAAGTCCATGTTTTTCCATCATTAGCTCTAAATTTAAACGTTGTATTTCATTATCTTTTGACTGAAATAGAAAAAACAAACTTGAATGGATATAATGTAATAATATATTTAAATGATGTTACTGTGTCATCGCTATATTATCACCATGTGCAAAGAGAAAAATTGTCTTTATTATATGTCTGGTATTTATCAAGAAACCGAGAACAAAACTTGTAATATTACTCTTGAAAGTCAGTTGTATATTAAGAAACAAATTATTTTACAGTAATATCAGGAGCCATTTCCGAAAAAAAAAAAACATAATTTTTTTTTTTGATATTAATACCGAAAAAATCTGAAAAACTGTAAATACCGAAAAATAATGAAATACTGCCCCCCCCCCCCAATAATTAACCAAAAAACCTAGGCTACGCATAAAAATTGTTAGGCGGGTTATGTGTCCGGCTACCCGACATATAAAAATTGTGGGTAATTCTAGGTTTATGCATGAAAACGGTGGACACTCTAGGCGGGTAATGCATAAACATAACAGTGGTACACTCTAGGTTGGTCATGGCTCATGCTAGGTCACACATAAGACTTGTGGGGCACTGTAGGTGAGTCATGGGGTAGGGTTTGTCCTAGAACCACTTCCACAGACCCCAAGGGAGTTGACCCGTCCCAACCGGTGTTCAGTTTATTCAATTGGCTCACCCTTGGATCCATGCAAGTGACCATTAGTGTTAGAGCTCCATTATGAGTAGTAATATTTTTTGGGGCCATAAAATCTTTGCTGAAGGAGACCAAATTCATTAAATACTAACACTACATAGTAATTAAAGTATTTGACTCTATTCATCAAACAAATATAATGTCATAGTAGTAACTAACATACAAACATTATTTCTAGCAAAACAGACCCAAAAATTTAGAAAATGAAACCTGTACAGAAATTGTGATATTTAACTGTAAATTTACCTGTAAATCTAAATGTAAATGTTGGGTACTTTTACGTAATTCTTCTCGTACATCTTTAATAACGGTATCACGAAGCTGAAAATACAACCAAAAATTAAATAACAATCGTAATAGAATGCACTTGTAACATAACTAGACTTTGTTCAATTAAAATCAAACCATTCTTTATTTTATATTAAAAACCAGGAGTGGACAGATGGCAGAAAGTCTCCTATAGACTTGATAACACAACCTATTTTATTTGGATTAAAAATAAAATTGTTGACTTTATTCAATTGGATATGTTGATTTTTTTTAGAAAGAGTTATCTCAATATCTGTCTACATTTGACACCTGCAGATATTCACTGTTCAAATATTACAAAATTATGTTCAATCTTCAGACAATTTAAGGAGAAAATGAAATTCAGATAAGTACCAAACTAAATGTCATTTAATCGTATGAGCGGCTTTTGACTGTATGACGTCAGACATTGATTAATCAATCAGCGTTGGCATTTTCGTGTGGTTTACCCAGTTCCGAGCATGGGACGCCAAGAAGTCGCCATAACAGACCGTTTCATTGGCTAATCCCTCACTTCATCCAGAACACGTCAATGATAACAACTCTTCCAGATCCTAGTGTAGTAAAGACAAGTAAAATGAAATTTTGAACAATAAAAAACTAAACGAAATAGGATATGTGTTTTAATCAGATTGAATCAAATGATTCAATAATTTTGTTATGAAAGAAATTTGAATAGTTTGTGTTAATAGCAAATACAAATCTATCTTCTCCTGGTCCTTTTAAAAACATTGCATTTAACTTATGAATAAAGGATCCTAAAAGCCAATGAAATAAAAAATAAAAACAGCAAATAAAAAGATAATTATAGCTATAATGTATATGAAGAGTCACAGGGAAGAACGATCTAAGTCACTCTTTCAACGAACCCCAGTTAATGGTGCCATCTGGTAGCAAATTGTATAAGCTTTCTGTGAAACAATCAATTTCAGGTAAAAACGATAGGAGTCACATCGAACCAAGGTCCTTCTGAAATGGCCTCCTGGACAAATACAAGTCCATTGTACCCTTTATTTGACCTTAATTTGGCTGAAAAGTGAAAATCAGTTATTGTGCTGGTAATTATGAATCATATTAAACAACAATTTGAAGTTGTAATTAAGCATTCTTGTCCAAAAGTCTACTTTGTCTTTCAAGTGAAAAGACAAAAATGTGACTAAGATCGTTCTTCCCCTGGACTCTTCATATGATTTGAAACAAAAGACCCCAAAAAGCCTGCTAACCTCATCCAAACTCTGACCTAATCTTGTTGAAGTGCCAAGATTATGATGAGAACGGTGGCGAGGAGAGAAAGGTGAAGGAGGAACATCCAGACCACTATAGCTGTGAGATCTATGATGTGATAATAAAGAAGACTGGTATTCAGTATCTAAATCGTCCTTGCCTATCGTAACTTGTTGCTGGTATAACTGCTCTCTTAATAACAATATCATCTGAAAAAAAACAATTAAAGTTTTGTTAAATTTACATACAAAAAAAAAAAAAAAAAAGCAGAAAAATAAAAACATGAAAGAATCAATAAAGAGCTATTGTTTTATTCACTTAATTGTTCATATATGTATAACCTTTTTAACACACTTTTGACAAAACAGTAAAACTAAATTAAGACATTTACCAATATTATTTGAGTCAATCAATCTTTAAAGGGGTATTATGGGAGGTTAGATAAAAAGTTGACTATAATACTTAAAAAATAGATAACGTAAATAGAGTATGCTGAAAATTTCAGTCAAATTGCTCCACTCTGAACCGAGATAATAGATTTTGAATTTTAGGCTAGCCTGATCATCATTACTAAAGTTAGTACGATAAAAAACAAAGTCACAATTATCCATTTATCGATATAATTATTTAAAAAAAAAATATATTCCAATATGATGGTCTGGATAAGTTAATTAATGTCTAATTAATAATTTAGATAACATTTCAGGTCTAAAGAAAGATTTGCAATAGGCAGATTTGGCTCTTGCACATAATGTATGTTTAAGGAATTTGATTAGGAGTATAACAAATATTTCTGTATAAATTAAAAACAAAAACCCAATTTGAATTTGTTAGGAAGAATTTTAAGATTGAAGAATGTCAATGTAATATTGACTATATTTCATTATAAGAATATCTGTGTTTAACAAAACGACCATATTAGCTAATTTTTCTATTGTATAAACAACAATCAATTTTTTATAGACCTACCTTTTGTAGAACACTGAGTGTAGAAATAAAAGTAAAGAAATCATTGCCAGAATTAACTTTTTTCAATCTTTGTGATAATAAATGTTCTGTTTCTAGTAGTTGTTGATGTATTGCTGTCCATAGATGTTGCAACTCCTCTACTTCATCTCTAGTAAATAAAACATCAAAATACATTTAGTCAACTTGTTTTCATTAATAGCAAATTGATAAAAATCCAAATAAGGAAAATCGTGGAGTTCTTTAAAGTAAACACTAAAATGGAAGTTTAGTTTAAATATATTTCTCCACAAAATGATCATATACCTTTCTTCATCGGTAAGTTCTTCATAAGCTTGTTGAAACTGTATAATAAAGGCTGTTTCAATTGAGTGAAGCTCGGTTTTATACTTCTGTATAGCATACTGTAACATACATGTTTCTTCTTGTAACCTCTGAAATAGGAAACATATTATATTTAAAGATGATATCAAACATACAATACAAAGGAGTAAATTCAATTTTTAATGTTATACTGCACCCCTGATAGTAATCTTCTATTTTTGTAATATTGAGATGTTTAAAGATGACATGGATAATTGTTGATTGATATTTAATAAATCTAATGCTCTAACCTTTTTGCGTATTAAGTTGGTCCACTCTCTAACATGTTGCTTGGGTTTATAATGAATAATGCTGCGTTTATAGCCCTGAAAATAAAATACATCAACTCACTGACGTTGTAGACATGTAGTCTACACTTAATCCAGAAAACACATGCTATTGTGAGATTTGTGTCCTAATCACAGGACCTCTGTTCTATTATCAAAGCATTCAGAGGTTAAGGTCTGAACACAATGATGATTTTCACAATATTCATTCAAAACAGTGACCTGGGGACATTAAAATGCAAAGCATGTGGATTTTGGATACCAGAATTAATATCTTTATTGTATTACATGTACTTTCATTTTCTCTGCTCCATACAGTGTGCTATGAGAGAAATTGTACACAGACATCAATTGAATCTGATCTGTCAAGGGGTCTTCTATATGTATTTGCACGCCAATGACATACAGAGGACCTCAGCTTTTCGTCCCATCAGAATGACTAGACTGGGATCAAACCCTGGTGAGTGACCATGGCTTCCTTTTAAAGCCCCCCCCCCCCCAGAAGTAAGTATATATATCTACCTGTATACTGACTGGTTGATTAATTAGTTTAATTAGTTTACTATACTCCATTGTTTCAGTACCACTACAACCGGTTGAACTATCTGGTGTTGAACAATAAGATATCTCACTTTCTGACAATATAGAATCACGAGATCCAAAATGGAAATGGGATTTTGAATACTGAGCCCCTCGTGAACCAGTTCGTGACCAACTGTGAGACAGTTCTGGTGTAGAATTACCGCTATATTGTTCTGTGATTCTTGAACTAGGGGGCACTAGATAGCTTTGATTAAGTTTTCCTTTAGAATGCACATTATAAGGAGAATAATAACTGGATGTAAGAGACTCCCTTGTCTCACTTGTTTTTTCCTCTTTTCGTTCTACACTTTTTTCCTTAGTCACAAAAATCGAAACATGGTTTTTAGTAAAAGGCACATTATGACCCCGGCCTGTGCCAGAATGCACCTGTGTGGACTCTGATGTCTTTGAAAGCTTCTTTTTTCCAATGCTAGGAATATAGCACATAGAGATGTAAGTTTCCTTGGCAGGATTTCTAAAATAAGAATTGGGAGTTGAAGATATTGGTTGCTGTCCTCGATTGTCTGATAATCTATCACCAATTTTTTTCCAAGAATACACTGGCACATTTAAGCGTTCACTATCAACAGTTTTATGGGTAGAGTTATCCAGCTCTAGAAAGTCTCTTGCTAATATGGTAGAAACACTACTAGCCAACGTATTAGCACTTTCTGAACTACTTCCTAAACTTCCAAGATTTGAAAACTGAAAAGAAATAAATTTATATGTTCATGAAATTCGTTATGACTTTTCATTGACTTTTAATTAAAATATGTGGTAGAATTTTAGATTTCAAACAACGAAAAGGCTCTTCATAATATTTTAGGTTTGGTGTTCACGATTAGGATCTCTTTTCATTGAACATAAATGTATGAATTTAGACATTTATTTGAAGGACTAAATAATAAATTCAACAACTGATCTACATGTATATAAGCTTACATGTAAATAGTCAACAAGTGATCTATACATGTACATGTAAATAGTTAACAAATGATCTATACTGATCTTAAACAACTGGTGTAAATAGTAAAATTAATACATTCTACAAATGACCTGTAGATGTAAATAAGAAAATAAGATAATAGTTATAAAAGCAACTTTACCCTAGGGGCCTCAGATTCATGTGGTGTCATATCTGCACTATAGTCTGCATCCCCGAAACCACTACTATCAGACTGAATACTACCCATTCTTGATAAATCATCTACAATAAACATTCAGTAAATAATCCACGACGCATAAAAATTAAACCACATTATACACTTAGTACAAACAATACATAGTAAAATGTTCTCAGTTGAAAATGATTATTACTCTTCTCTAATACAATTGCACATCATTACATCTTTCGCCTATCTTTATACAATCTAAAATAACTACCTTTTCCTAATATATCTTCAATTTATATCATCACATATTGCCTAAGTGTCTTGTTGTGATCTAATTATCTGAGACTACTTAATTTTGTGTCATCAATCAGTTGTTAATTACAGGTACTCTTAATTAATAATGGAGTTCACTCATCTGTCAACCTGTCATCTTTGATTTCATTGTCACATATTTAATCACAATTAACATAATTAAACTTGGGCAAACAACTAAGGGAGAAGATGATCCATCCGTTCTTCTCACCACAGTGAATATTAACACCATGTTTTGGAGTGACATTATTGTATACAAGAACTTTTTTTTTTTTTTTTACCTTTTTTATGCATTCATAAGATGTAAATAATCTAATCTAAATATACCTGTCCATAATATCATAGACATTGTATAGGACTTTAAAATTGTAATAAACAACAATATTTAAAACAGTTCTTCATTTGATAATCAAGAAACGAAATTTATTTTTAATGATGACATTGCTTAACTTTGTATTTAAACACTGAGACAGAGCTGCACTGCTTTTCATGTGGACCACACTAGACAAATGTTTTCATCTTAATCTTCCATTTTAAAATTCTCAGTGAATAAGTGAATCTAATTTTACTGTCTCTATTGTATTTGTTCAGTCTGTGCTTTGACAGCTTTGTTATGCAGTTTTATGCTGTATTGACTATATTAGTAATTACATATATATTTTGCATCTAAAGATTTTAACAATTATTTTAATAAAAAAAATGACTGTTCTACTTTTGCAATTAGTTTGTATATATGTACATTTAATACATTATTTGTCCTTTATTACAGTGTATACACACTGAAAATATGTACATGTACAAACTGAAAGCAAAGAGACATAGAAGTATGTTCCCCAATCCCAGTTCAGAATTGCCCTTAAAAAATATATATGCTTTATAAAAAAAAAAACAACAATTTTTCTATGTTTTTCAAAATTTTTCTTTAAGCATTGCTTTAAATGTATCAGAATTTAAGACATGATTTCGTAAAAATATCCTTAAAAACATTTTACTATTTAAAGTTATGAATACACTAACCTTGAAGACATGGGCTTCTTATTATAGGTGATTCCTGAAAGTTGGCTGTTTGCTATAAGTATATAAATATATAATAAATCATTTTTCAACAATACTAAATAAATCTATATATATTTTTTCTAGTATAATTCATTCAGTAACAAATTGGGTCAGTTTATTAACTTAAATTGAAAACTGAGAAATTCGGTCAACATTATTATAAACCAGTGCGAAATGTTTGATCAATATTTTTTTTCCATCAATTGATGAAAATGAACATCATGTGGTTAATTTCCTTATTTCTTTTAATGGACTTTCTTGCCAAACTTACATATGCATTGTGCAGTTAATTGATTTAATTTGGAGCTTCAGCTAAAATCATCAAATTTCGAAATGATATAATTATAAAACCTTACCTTTGAAAATTTAAACATTGGGAAATTTTCATTTTCATCTGGTTTGTCCATATGTGATCCCAATTCCTTTTTATCCACAGAATCTGTTTGATTTTCAAAGACATCTGGACTATCTAGGCTAGTTATAGAATGTTTGTCTACGACCGTATAATCGGATGATGACTCTGTGTCTGATAATCGTTCAATATTTAATAAATTTAAACTATTTTCATCTGCTTTCATTTCACTAGCTAAAGAAGCAGAAACACTTTCTAAATCCTGAGAAACAACAATTTTGACTTGATCACTGACAGATTCGTCATGCGTTGAACCAATTGATAAAGTTTTCACACGTTCAACAGTCGACTGTTTCGACATAGGTGGGGACACTGTATAATCATCACCATCATGAACAGTCAGAAAATTATCCACTTTATGGTGACGTATGTCACCAATTCCTTGTTTATTAACTTCTGCTGCTGACTGGAAATAACAGTCTTCCATTTTCTTTAATGCATCTGCTTCATGCTGTTGTCGCAGATCTGAACTGGAACAGAAGCGAATGTCTGGACTAAACGGAGAATCAGAACTATCCATGGAAGCAGACGTACTAAAATCCATACTATAACCCTTGTCAAAACTCGGAGAAATGTCTTCAGAAGCTCCCATTGGATTGGAAGTTTCTTTCGATTCATCAGATTCCACAAGACTCCATTTTTGTGTGTGAGTTTTCTGAAACATTTTACGCTTAGAAGCTGCATCAGATGGCTTCGCTGCTACTGGGTTGGAGAATAATCTTTTGTCAGTTACACCTTTCTGTGTGGCTGAAAAAACACACAAAATCATGATATTTACAGTTCCAATGAATTATCTTCATATGAATGGTCAAAAATTTGAAATTGAGTCTGGTGACTATTGCTTGCAGAACATAAAATTCTACAATATCCAACTAAATTATCCTTATGATCCAAAATACCTTTACAATGTGAACATATATCATAGATATAAGTATACGTCAAGCATACGTAAACAAAATAAAACTATATTCTATCAATATCCCCAACATAATGGATTAAACTATTCAATTCACATTCCAACTAAAGCATCATGTTGAACAGCTGCAAAAATATGACGTGACAAGAAAATATTTTTATCCCTTTACTTACCTTTGCTTGAAAATCTCTCCAAAAATCAATGCAGAATATTTGTTTTTACATATATATATATATATATATTACATCCGATCAATTTTCAATACCCATGCACGACCCACGCTTCTTGACGTATAAGCTTATAAAGTATCTATATTTATATTTATTTAATTGTCATATAGATATTTTTTATGGTGGCAGATGTGAAAACATACCATGTCCTGGTGTGCTTGTGACGTCAGAGCCCTGTCCAATATTCTTAGGACAGTAACCCAAATGTTGGGTGTAAAAACCTTGACGTGCTAGTGCCTGTTGATTTTCAGGAATAAGAATGGATTTTGGTCCTGTATCCTGCAGGTCTGCCATTCCCATCTGCTTCTGTTTACTGGCAGTGGCTGACATTTTCAGATGAAACAAGACAGATGACATTGATCTAGCTGCTTTCCATGCACCTAAAAAATTAAACAGAAATTATACAATTCTGTTTTGTATTATAATATACACCTGTTTATATTTAGTACTACACAATTTAGCGATGGCAATAATAAATAATGTTCTAGGATATTCTACAATGTAAAATTTTTCCTTATATCTGTCATTAAGATATTTATGATTTTAATGGGGAAAGTTTTATTTCCTCCAGCATAATTAGGTCATCTTTTTGATAATCTAAACTTATTTTCACATAAAAGTACTATATCTGTAATGACCAAGGAAAATCAAATTAAACTTTAAAATCACCAAATATATAAGATGACAATCAATTAAACAACTTAATTATTAGAAAATGTCAACAAGTGAGCTTGCCGTTGCTACCTTAGTCCTCACATAACACATTCCTTACAAGATAAACCTAGTGCCTGTAGATTCATCGTCTTGCAAGCATAATAGTAACACAGATAATGCAAGCTATTGTCTAAAAAGATAAACTGTTTTTCTTTGGGAACAAATATATTCATCTGGATTGTTTGTACATTTATTCTCAATAATTGTTACATATTTAGTATTTGGAATGTTGGGGAAATATTTCTTTAAAGATTAAAATCTATTTCCTTGTAGAACATTGCTTGACTAGAATTTATTACCATTTAATCAAAATTATTTTAAAATATCTATAAAATATGTATACAGGTATTACTACATCAAAAACACTACAATTATTATGTAAAATGTTTTGAGACCAAAGCAAATAATTATAAAAGTAAACTATTTATAACAAAAATAAATTAAATACACAAATCTGAAAAGAAAGATGACATACCCTAAAAACTAAACAAACACAATTTAAAACAAAATTAAAAGGATGGATTTCTGGGTTTTCCAAAAATAAAAAAAATAATAAAATGGATGCACATTCACAAAAATTATACATTAAACAACACAAATTGTTGCAATAAAGAAAACATTAATAATGTTTAAAGATACATTATGGGAGATTAGATAAAGAGCTGGCAGTTCTCACTATAATAGTTAAAAACTAGATAATGTAACAGGAATTTGCTGAAAATTTCAGTCAGATTTATCCACTGTGAACCAAGATTTCAGTAACAGTAACTGAATTTTCGACCTAGCCTCGATAAATTAATTTTTATACAGATTTATCAATTTCAGTTTTTAGTGTCAGTACATTGCACATATCATAAACAATACTTTAGTTTTTTTATTTTATAAAATATCTTTAATGTCTGTACTGCATTCGTGTATTGTTTGTTCTATATTAAACAGATTTACTACATTGCAAGTATATTTTCATGCACATTTTTTAAATGGTTAAATGGTGTAGGCAATTTTTGATAATACACATATTCGTAATTGTTGGAAGAGATTTGAACTGAAATTCTGAATATGCAAGTTATTAAAATAAAGGAAACATAAAATGATAATTAAGATAAATAATTCACAGCAACCATAAGAACCATGATCAATATTTTTAGTCAATTTTTTACTACCATAATTATGGCTATCAAGTATTCAAAATTAAAAAATATAATCCTATATTTGACATTTGGTGTATATGTTCATGGTTCTTAAAATTAAATCAAAACCAAAAATCAACATAATTTAGAAAGAAAAAAAAGAAAAGGTTTACACCTATTAAATGAATAATATTCACTAAACAATATCAAAAGAAATTATAGAACGACTCAGGAAAGGATTGTTTATTAAAACAACATCAATTCAAAACCCAAAATTAATCATGCTAAATATAAATATAAACCCACCTTTTTCCTTCCACTTGTAGAAATGTCAGTGTAACTAAGTGCATAGGCTGTGCCATAAAGTTTGGCAATAATATACAGCTAGGGCTACTATATATCATTTAGATGGTAAATAAATACTTATTTTAATACAAAAATCCTTTAGATTTATAGATGTGGAGTTGACGTCACATTCTTATAGTAAAAATTTACAGCCAACTCAATATATGTTTCTTAAAAATGATTAATGACTACATAATGAAATCTATGGTAGGGCTAGCTGCCTTAAAATAGGGCTACTCTAGGTTATACGCACTGGTGTACTTTTTCTACATTATTGTCAGCCTGTCCCCATAGTCTTACCGAACCAGCTGTTCACATGGGCCTTCCAGTGACTATCTTATTATTAAGCTCTCATCTTGCTATCCAAATCTATCCCTTGTTAATGTTGCTCCAATTTTACAAGTCACAGTTTTTTTTAAATAGAAAATAAGTTCCAAGACAAGTATTAATGATGATATTTTAATAATAACAATTATAATATTAATAACAATAACAATATGTTAATATAACATTAAGTAAAGAGAATTTGTTGATATTGAATATCTCTGTTTGGCAAACCACTAATAAGTATTTTAAAATGTAAACAAATTATAAATAAAACTATCATGATATCATATATCAATTTCAACAGGATAATACCTTTATTAATCTGACTATGATTAAAAACCTATGTTCAAAAAATGTTTAAGAAATAATTTACAGATTGAGTACAGTAAAAGTTTACAAATTGAGTATCCATTTACAGATTGAGTATCAGTTTACAGTTTGGGTACAGTAATAGTTTACAGATTGAGTAGCAGTTTACAGACTGGGTATGGTATAGTTTACAGATCGAGTAGCAATTTACAGATTGAGTTGGCTACAGATTGCTTTTTAAAATTCTTGTCTTTAAATTAAGTTATTCTTTGCTATAGTCTTTTTCAACAACCCAACTGTTTATTATTAGTATAAATCTTTGATTTGGTGTATTTCTTATCTATTTATACCTTTTTATATTTTAATATTTACAGTACTGTAATGTTAATTATCTTTACTTTTTTACTCAAACAATTTTAAGGTTTAGGTGGCTTAATTTCTTAACCAAGAAAAACCAGAACTACAGGTAACATCATCATCAAGATTATAGTATTCATTAATAATGCTGACAATATTTAATTCTTTTGATAATGAAGACCAGTAACTTAGTACTATTTAAGCAGATTATTAACTTTATAATATATCCTTATTTAATTTACTATTCTACCAGTATTTATCAAATTGGTAAATTCCAGTTCCAACAGTATTGAGTGATCTCCCTTACATTTTTTAGTAGCAGTGGAGAGCTTTCAAGATTTTCTTATGATAATGAGGGGATCACGTGGCTAAGTGGGCAAGACGCTAGCTCGCGAGCCTGGAGGTCGGGTGTTCGATCCCTGCATTGGCCGAGAAAGTTCATCCAGATTTTCCGGCGTGGTTCTCCCTTGTCAGTGATGCTGGACAGAGGGGCTGACAAGGAAAGCTGTCTAGTCGTTCGGATGGGACGAAAAACCGAGGTCCCGTGTACACATTGGCGTGCACGTAAAAGATCCCTTGGCAGTTGGAATTCGATATAAGAGTAGGCCGTAGTGCCGCTGTCCGGGCAAAATTTCCCTCATAGCACACTGTATGGCGTATGCCCGTCTTCATTAGCCCAGGTTAGGAGCAGAACAGTTGGACGTTAAACTCCATTTCATTTCATTTCATTTCTTATGATAATGAACAAATAAAATGTTTTTCAAAATTCAAAGTTGGATGTATATGTGTTTCCAAATATTCACAGATCCTTAACCCACCAGTTAAAATATGAAGAGTCCAGGGGAAGAAAGATCTACGTCACTTTTTCCACAAACTTCAGTTAATGGCGCCATTTGGTAGCAAATTGTATAAGCTTTTTGTGGAACAATCAATTTCAGGTAAAAACGATCAGAGTCACATCAACCAAGGCCCTTCTGAAATGGCCTCCCTGCCCTTCTGAAATGGCCTCCCGGACAAATACAAGTCCATCGTAACCTTTATTTAACCATAATTTGCCTGAAAAGTTGAAGTCAGTTGTACTGGTAATTATGGTTAGTGTTAAACCTCATTTTGAAGTTGTAATTAAACCCACTTGTTGTTCTGTTTGCGTCAAACATTATCGTCCAAACGTCTGTTTTGTGTTTTACACGAAAAGATAAAAATGTGACTTAGATTGTTCTTCCCCTGGACTCTTCATATGATTTATGGTAAAACTCATCTTTTATTGATGTTTTTTTTTTTATATGTATTGATGTTATTTAGTGTATTCTTAGTGAGTTTATGTTCAACTAACCCAAGATTTAACCTGATCTCAATGATCATTCAATATTCATCAGCTGATTTAATACTCATCATGAATAGAAGCAGAGCAATTACTCAGGATTTGGTTGGTGTATGCAATAAATAGTAAAAATAAAACTTAAACAAAATCAGCAGAAAAGAGTTCATCTTGACAGTCAAAACAACCACAAACTTGTAAACTTATGTCTTACAGATAAATGTTCAGCATTGACAGAATACCTAACTGAACATAATTGAGATATTACACAATTACATCATCACAGAAATGTGGCTTGACTCTAATACATGTGGTCCAGTTTTCAGTGAACTAAAAACGTTCCAGAGTACAGTTATATAAAGAAACTTGTAAATAAATTGTTTCTTAATTTCATGATAGAATAGTTCAAATATGATCTGATATATCCTTCAACATCTGAAAATAATACAATGCTTTGTGGGGTACCGCAAGGTCCTGTACTCAGGCCTGTAATTTTTATCATCTTCAGTAAGCCTTTCACTAAGATTGCTGAATGCTATGGTCTAATTATTCATTTGGGGTTGCAGACAACACCCAACTTTATATTGCATTTGACGCAGACTTTCAAAATTTTGCAGCATTGATCAAATGTTAGTTAATTTTAGGAATCCATCAAGCTTGAAATATTGGGGCTATACCTTTCATTTGAAGATCACATACATAGTATTTGCTCCACTGCCTTCTATCATATACATCGAATTAGAAAGATGTCATTTGTGAAAAAAAAACCTCATTCATGCATTCATCTCATTTAGACTAGACTACCACAATGGTTTACTATAGGGCTTGCTTACCAGACTATCAGATTAACAAACTACAATGTTTAAAATTCAGCAGATTG